TTGCTCTTTTGTTCTATTCGGTAAAGTCACGTGGGTAAAAAATAAACAAAAATCACGACGCTTCGGCCACAACACAAGTGGCCTTCATCAGGTGAAGGGACCAACCTGTCCAGAGGACAGCGTTGGAGTGGACAGGTTGGTCCCTTCACCTGATGAAGGCCACTTGTGTTGTGGCCGAAACGTCGTGATTTTTGTTTATTTTTTTTTCCTACGTGACTTTACCGAATAGAACCAAAGAGTATGGATCCTTGCAGTCACGAAAGCTTCAAATCTGGACTTAATAACAACCTTGCTCAAGTCAAGATACGTGTCAACTTTGATCAATTACAGCTCTGAGAGTGCCGTCTGTCGCTGGCCGCTTCACGTTTTTTGGGGCCTGTGCTTGGTGACTGCGTGAATAAATAGAATACGTGACTTGGCTAGCATACGGCATGAGAGCCGCCGGGACGACGATGAGGTGGTGGTGATGGTGGTGCTGTCGCGTGATGGCAGTAGAATTTTACAGCCGCGTGTCGAGCGAGGGCTCCATGAATCGTGCCCTCTGTCCAAACAGGTCCGAGTGTCGCTAAAATAAAATAAATAACAAGTGCTCAAAACCGCAGGGCTTAACATTCATCCTCGTCATAATAATACAGAAAATGTGTTGTCAGTCGGCAGAGGCAGCTGAAGCAATTTTCCCGAGTGGGGGGCGGTGAGGCCGTGTCGATAAATCAAGCTTTTAATTAGGGGCCACGATGTAAAACATTTTTTTATATATGTTCTGGTAAATATCAATACAAATAAACAATTCTCGGGGTTTCAAAGGGGAGGTGAATGCCCCCATCGCCTTCCCCTCCCGCCCCACCCCAGATTCACCACGGTCAGTCGGCACGCATTGAATAACTTTTATAAGGAGAACGCCTCTTATCCGTGGTCCTATTATTCACGCGACTCCTATTATCTGTACCAGCTGTCGGCTCGGCACATACTCCCTTTATCCATGGGCCCAGGTCTTCCTCTTATCCAAGATTCTCCACGACTTTTCCCGTAAGTGTTTTGCCGAATTGAAATGTATTATCTGCGCTTTTTTCACTGTTAAGAGGAGAGTCGTGGTGAAAATTACACATTAACCACGGGGTTATCCACGATTTTAAACCCCGCTGCTAAGAGAAGTAAATGTGATGGATATCCCCGAGGGTAATAGGATCCATGATCGTGGACCCCCATATCACTTGAGCCCCTGCCGTCTAAGGGAAGCCAATTAACCCTCTCCCGTTACAAGACGACTGCAAGTTGCAGAGTGGGGTCCCGTTCTCCGCTGAATCTCAGGAACGCGTGAGCGGTTCGGCGATAATTTTATTTCGAGAGGCGTAGCGGCCGTTGTTTTTAAAGACGTATTGTACTCGCTGCACGGAACCGCAGCGACACGACCACACTCGACGATAGCTGGCGCCAAACTGTCCCACACTCCCTCCCTGCATGGCCTTTTTACTTCAGATTTCGGTCGGGAAGAAAAAACGATGACGTACACACGCACATCGGAAACGGGAAAGCGAACGGGAAAGGGTTAACCTCCTGGCCATCATCTTCTCGGGGCCCAATTATACATTTTTTTAAGTGTAGTTTTTTTGCTAATAGGATTTGTCGAGTTATAATCATAGCCCTGACCATAACTGTCACAAATGTCGGCTTCCCAAACCTCATCGCACACGAGTAGAATTTACATCGCTCATTCGGGTTATAAATACGGATTTACGTGCAACTTATTTGTTTACGCAAGAAATCCATGGTGAATCGGGAAGCTCTCGCTCCTCCTGCACATGAGCTGATTTCGTTGCTCCGTCTCCGCAGAGGGGCGCGGTTGATTTCCCCCCTTTGGCTGCCATTCCATCGTTAGTCTTGATGCCCGTACCCGTCGTCCGTTCCAGCGAGGCTTCCTGCCCACGCTCACCGACTCTCCTCGGCTGTCGATATGCCAGTGGCAAGCTGTAAATGTGGCTCCACGGTGATTCGATATTAAGTACCTTTCTTCGTATACAGGAAGTCGTGGGTTTGATCCTGACCGTGACACCTGCTGCATATTTGGAGCTTGCGTGTCTCTCCCCATGGTCTCGTGGGTTTTTCTCTGGGTCCTCCGGTTTTTCCTTCCACATTTAGAATCCAAGCGCGTATTTGGCTGCTATAAATGTACACATGATGAGCCACTTCGTTTAGCTATGATTTGTGGCCAGGTTACCTGGTAAAATAAAAATTGTAAACTTTTGTAAAGAAAAAAAATCAGAAATCCGTATATTCCATTTCCTGTCTCTCAGCACAATCCCAGCACGCAACTGTCTGCTTTTTTGCGGACTTGCATTCTTTGACACCTAATTTCCCTGTAGCAACACTGCCAATAGGGTCCCCTATACCCAGCTCAGCACTGAGCTTAACCGTGATGTATATTTTTTTTTTATAAAAAAAACTGTGCTCGGCAGGAAGCTTGTGATTAATCACCACACGGAGGCTTTGTGGAAGTGAGTGCTACGTTTTCCTATTTGTTGATATATTTACATAACGCATTTTGCACATTTCTCGGATTGTACGCACTTGTGAAGTCAAGCAGATTAATGAGTTGAGCACCACAGTGATCTTTGGTGGCTGCTGTTTGCTGTACTGAATCCAAAGTCAAAATTATTCTCTGCTGAACGAGGATTCGGGGCGTCGGTGCGCATCTCCTGCTCACAGCCCTGAGCAAGTGGTGAAATTTCCCAATTCCCTAAAATCAATAGGGTAACCACTGTTGACCTCCTCACGAAGTGGTACTTATTTTATCGACCCTAGAGGAATGATGAGATATGATAACAGCCCCCGCCCCGACCAGGATTTGAACTCGCAGGTTCTGATTGCGAGCCACTTGCTCTACACGGAGCAACTTGGTCGGATAGAGTTCTAACGAACCGTCCATTTACTCTGTAGACTGTACAAGCAAGTGCTGTTCAGCAAGCACATATTTAGGGCAGTGTGGCGCACAAGGGAGAGGTGCGGTTAGTACAATGCCTGACCGCCTTTGTCTCCCCAATGCTAATGACACACTGCACCCGGATACGCATTTAAAGTCAAGGTGATGCAGGAAGGGCCCACAACCAATTCCGATATCACTCGACACTGAATGTTAGCCATGGTTAAGAATCAAATTCAAGTCGCCAGGTTCATACCGCATTGTGCTAAGTGCTGCACCACCGCTCCCCATACCCATAGCAATAACAACCGCCTTTCGCCACTAAGTGGCGGTGACATTACCACGGCGCTTGTGCCAGGCTATGTGCACTTTAAGGCCACGTGAAGTGTCGAACGCCCGCTGGCAGGAGGTTATGGGACAGGCCCAGGTGCAATGGGTTGACTGAGATGACCTCTGCCCCCATACCCACAAACGCATACACGTTCACACAAGTATAGTGTGCAGAATTTTCTCAAGCCCATTGCCATGGTTACGAATGTGTGTTGAACCCCAAGCACGCGGGATTTTGGGTGCTCAAAGCCCATTAACGTGGTACCTACGAGGGCGTGGGCACTTAGCCTGGCGCGCGTGGGGGGGGGGGGGCAGCTGACGGCACACAGAGAGGAGGGACAATCAGCGGCGCCAGCCCCGCCGTGGGGGTCAACGCGGGCGATGGGGTGGGTCGATTCCGGAATCCTGGCAGAGTTTCCCGGGAGACGTTGCCACGGTGGCTAGGAGATGTTAATCACCTCGCCTGGTGTACAGGAAGTCGTGGGTTCGATCCCGACTGACGCCTGTTGTATATGTGGAGTTTGCGTGTTCTCTTTTTTTTCGTGGACGCTTGGATTTATCTCCGGTTCCTTCGGTTTTTCCCTCCACTTGCATTTAGAGTATTTGGCAGCTATACATGTCTACATGATGAGCCACTTTGTTGAGCTATGATTTGTGGCCAGGTTTCTTCTGAAAAAGAGCTATATAGCTCGGTGGGTCTTACCTGGTAAAATAAAAAGTTGAGTTTTTTTTTCATAAAGATGTTGAGCAAAAGCGCATTCATTGTTATCATACAGTCAGTATGGTTATGATCATGGAGGCGGTCAGTTACCTGCTTACCGCTCTGATATCGCTACTATCATGGTTACCGCTCCCGTGAACTTCACTCGTTGATTCCTCCATCCATGTTGAGGACTCGGTCCAGCAGACCGTTTCGTCTCATCTCATCCTCGCAGTGTTCACTCACTCGCCACTCTGCAGGTCGCAAAACACTGCTTCGCTTCAGGGTTAACTCTGTCATTACCTTTTCCAAAGCTCTTGCAGCATCGCTCACTGCCATCCGCTCACCCAGACACTCACCCAGACACACACACCCAGACACTCACCCAGACACTCAACCAGTCCGTGTTTGGACAAGGTTTAAAAGAAAGTGAGTAGGGATTGCAGGCCATTCATCCTCTATCCATTCCGGCGACCGGACGACACCTGCTGATTCGACCATGGTATCGAGATGGTGCCAATTATATATCGATCCGAGTGTTATTTCCCCGCGTGAGCCGGAATTATCCGGGTTCACCGTCTTACATTTTTTGCCCGACGTGAAGCCAAATGTGCGTGAATGGAAAAATATCCAAGCATCCCAATGTAGCGGGACCCTTTGCCCCCTTTGCTCGGTAAACGGAGGGCAAAGTTCGAGCTCCTCCGAGTCGCCCGCAAAGCTGGAGTCCGTTGGCAAAAACTGTGCACGATACAAGTTCCACGATTATATTCTTGTTGTGATCCGGCACGAGACGTCGGTCGTCGCTCCGTCACGCGATGTTAAGAATGTTACATGTAAATGAACTTATACGTGGCGAACGTTTGTAACTCAAAGCCGAGTAAGACTGAATGCCAAGTAATTTTTAGCAATTTTATTTGTGTTGTGTGCAGTCGCTGTTCAGTGGAGTATAAACTGCGCGTGCTTTCCCCGTGACCCCATCCTCTCTCGCACCCACCCGTGCACGCATGCACGTATCCCCAACCGCCCCTCCCTCTCCATTCCATGTCTTGATAGAACCATACGCGTGTGGATCAAGAGGGACAGTGGCCAGTTCTGGCCCAGCGTGTTTCATTCGATGCCAGGTACGAACCCACGCACGCACTCTAACCACGCTGTATCTTCCTACCAAAATAAACCCAGTCTCGTGGGTCCTCGGAATTGAACAGAAAAAATAATAATTTTTATTTTACCAGGTAAGGCGCACTGAGCTATATAGCTCTTTTTCAGAAGCAACCTGGCCACAAATGTTAGCTCAACAAAGTGGCTTATCACGTGGAAATTTATGACAGCCAAATCCTGTAAACACGTGTTTCTAAATGTGGTGGGAGAAACTGGAGGACCCGAAGTAAAATCCACACGACCGCGGGGAGAACATGCAAACTCCAAATATACAGGCGTCGGGAGTGAACCCACGACCTCCTGCATACCAGGCGAGGGAGTTCACATCTCGCCACAGTGGCACCCCCCGTAATAGTGTGGTGGATGTGCCACGCGCTGCATATAACGGGGCTTAAGTTGGGACCCCGAAAAAGTGAGGAGGAAAACAATTGGACTCGCGAAGTTCGAACGTTGAACAGCGTGGAGAGCAACGGCGGCTCGTCGCTGTCCGTGTCCCCGTGCTCCGTGGCAACGTGGCGCGCCGATGCAGCCCAAGTTTAGTAACCGGACGGTCGACCGGCTGGAGCGTTGGATTGCGCGCTTCAGAATCGGATTTCAATATTCGGTAGTTTCAGTCGGATATATTTGTATTAATCTTTTCATATCGCTTTCTATATATCTATTTTTGTATTCACGTAAAAAGCTATTTGTGAAAAATAGCACGACCAGCTTTAAATGGGCTGAATGTGGTCTCCATTGGAAAACACCGTGGTCTTGTTAAAGAAAATAAATGCACCGGGCCGCAATCGTCCTGGTGTCTTGAGGACACGCCGTATAAAGCAAGTGAATATAAATGTTCGTTGTACGTCTACTGCACCTCGCGCGGAGAGCGTTTGTGGTGGCGCCGCCTCCTCCCACCGTCCAGCTCTCGCTTCGCCCCCCTTTTTTTTTTTTTTACCTGCCGGGCTTTTTCTGATCGACGGATTTAAATTATTCAAGCGGTCGCGAGTGGGAGAGAGAGAGAGAGGGGGCGCACGGGCCGTCTGCCACGTAATCTCTCGGTGCCCTGCCACGGCGCTCCTCCGCACCGTCGTCACCTTTTCATTATTTGACTCCCTTCACTTGGCCGCCGCTCGCCTATTGAGTGTGTGTGCGCGTTGTGTTTACTTGTGCTGCTGCCGCCGCCGCCGCAACCTCCACCGCAACCTCCACCGCAACCCGTGTCGTGCTGCTGACGCCAGATCGTACAGCGCGCCGTCGGAATAACGCAGGCAGATGTAGATCCCGTCCCACGTGTAGTGGTTGGGGGTGGCGGGGCGCTTTGGTGAGAGTCTGTCTGAGGGTGTCCCCCCAAGTAACCATGGGGCTTATTGAAATGAGGCAGGTCGGTGTCTCGACACAGAATTCCTCACGAGTAGCTGTAGAGCACAGCCAGCGCAGCCAGTCGGCACTCTCACACGGGAGGAGGAGGAGGCCGGGCAACGTTTTTTTTATTTTATTTTGACAATAACCCGTTTGTTTATGCAAATAATACTCACTTTCTATAACGCAAGGAATAATTTCCACAAATATGCATGTGTGTGTCCCGGCTGAATAAGCATCGTCACTGTATTTTTGCTGTCCTACCAACCGGTTTGAAGGGTTTTAGGCGAGGGAACGTTCTAGTACTCAATTTTGTAAATCCACAACTCCCAACGGAAAGGTCGTACTGTTAGAAAGTAAATAAAAATGAAATGAATGGCGCGCAAAGCAACACGGATCGCGTCTCCACGCTGCGCGGAAGCGTCACACGCCCAGGCGGTCCCAGTTCAGTTGCTCCGAACTGTACTGCAGAACTTCACTGTGTAGTCCACTATAGATTTTCTGTGGTTTCGGTGTTCTGGTTTTGTTTTCACCCTTTCTGTTTGCTCTTTAACTTTGCATGACGTATAAAAGTTGAGAAAGCAGATATCCCCGGGGCAGCCCCCCACCTCTTGAGTTTTCCCACTATTTCGAGGATACGCTGTACAACCCAAGTCTGAATGCAAGAATTATTAGATTAACCCTCCCGGTCGTTTTAACTTGCCTTTTACATTTTAAAAATGTATTTACCCAATTATCCATCACCGCCGCTTACGCTTTTACTGTATGTTGTACCACCCTTGCTAACCGCACTCGGGGCTGGGTTGCGACGTTTTTACGAGTGCGGTGTTTGAAGCCGCGTGTGTGCGTGCGTGTGCTATTCGCTTTGTGCGTGCGTGTGCTATTCGCTTTGTGCGTGCGTGTGCTATTCGCTTTGTGCGTGCGTGTGCTATTCGCTTTGTGCGTGCGTGTGCTATTCGCTTTGTGCGTGCTGTGCACGCGCTGTGCGTATGTGCCGTGTGTGCGCGCGCTGTGTATGTGTATTGCGCGCTTGTTTGCATTTGCGTGCTGTGTGTACTTGTGTACATGCTGTGTGCACTTGTGTACATGCTGTGTGCACTTGTGTACATGCTGTGTGCGTGCCGTGTGGGGAGCGGTAGTGTGGGGGGTTAGCGCGCTGCGCTTCGAACCCAGCAACCCGAGTTCGATTCCCGCTCGCAGCCAACACCGGCGGCGATTATCTGAACCATTCCTGGGCCTCCCCAAGGTCAACACAGCCTCAAATGAGTACCTAGTACAGTGTGTAAACATCGCCACTGGGCAGACAAAGGCGGCCGGGCGTAGTGCTGGCCACCCACGCCCTCGAGTGCTGTACCGGCCTTCATAGGTGCTACTCGCGAACAGCACTTGCCCCAACAGTCTGTTAAAGGCTATACGGGGGGGGGGGGGGGTGTCTTCATCTTTGTCTTTTCTGTGTGTGTGCTGCGTGTCCCGGTACAGTGGCCTGCAGCACCATGTCCTACAACCCTGAGACACGGCGACTTTTCGTGGGCCTCGACAACGGAGCCGTGGCGGTGCGTGTAGCGCAGCAGCGCGAGACGCTCGCCCTGATTTGCGCCCGCCCCGACTCCTCAGCCCCCAGACTCCCCCCTCTGAACGTCGCTGTGGACAGTCGCGAGCCTCCTCAATTGCACAGCATCTTGAGACCCGGTCGCATTTGGGTGTTCCACGAACACGGTTTGTGCCGTGCCTGTACGCTATGAGCCACGCGGCCGGAGGGATTTCCCAATGTGATCCGGCATTGCCTCTCTTACAGGAGTTCTCGATGTCTGAAGACTTCAATAAAATGACGAGCACCAGGACATACGCTGGTACGTCACGCTGCTGTGGAATGGGGAGAGGTCGAGGTCAAGAGGTCACCGCGGCCACTGCCATTTATGTGACCACGCCTCGCAGTTGCTTCCTTCCGCCAGATCGTGCAGTCGCTGTACGGTTGGCACCCGGCCTCCAAGGCCCGCACTTAGTGTCACCATCTGCCTTTTGGAAGGGGGAAAAAAATAAAAGTGAAAATAAAACATGAATTAACTTTAACGTGCAGATTTTTAAAGCCAATGTGAGTTTTGGGTTAGGTCGCGTAATGATCTGCCCAAATTTCTGTGGTAATAATTCTCATGAACCAAGTTTCACAATTAGTTATGAATAAAATGTCTTGAATTTACCAGCGAGCTGAAATAATAATTGGCGCGGCGTTAAACGCTTGTGCACCGCGTGACATTTTAATTAGTTTGGCTGTGTCGGGTGGTGGAGAGTCTTAGGGCAGACATTGGCGCTTTGGTGGCCGTCTGGAACGCTCTTCCGATATTAGGAAGTCACTGTAACTATGCACTTTTAAATATAAATTGAAAACTAATTTCTTGACAACTGATTTTTGTCCTTAGATTGTTGTCCTTCCTCTGCACCTTCGATTAGCACGGTTGGCAACGTACGGCGCAAAACAAGTTCAACATACGTACAAAAGAAGCAACAACGAAAACTATTTTTTGAGTTTACATTAGTTAACTATGAACATGTTGAAGTAGGCCATCGATCCAGCCTATAGTAAAACCTTAAATTAAAGCTTTCGTGACTGCAGGAATTCATAATCCTGGGTCTTTCGTGACTTTACCGAAAGACCCAAGAATATAGTAAAACCTGCGCCGGATAACTGTATTTAGCTAAACAGCGCTTGCCCCAACAGTCTATTAAAGGCTATCTGGGGGATCTTTGTGTGCATGTGTGTGCAGCGCACCAGCAGCGCGTGACCGGGGTGCACTTTGTGCTCGAGTCCGAGTGGGTGCTGAGCACGGGTCAGGACAAGCAGTTCACGTGGCACTGCTCAGAGAGCGGCACCCGCTTGGGTTCACACCGAACGGCCGCCTGGGCCTCCTGCCTGCAGTATCCTCCTCCTCCACCCTCCTCCTCCTCCACCCTCCTCCTCCTCCACCCTCCTCCTCCACCCTCCTCCTCCACCCTCGTCCTCCTCCCTCATCCTCCCCCTCCAGCCCTTCCTCCTCCTCCTGCCCCCCCCCTCCTCGTCGTCGTCATTGTCGTGATTGTCGTGAAAAACAAAAATAAGCCGGTTAACAAAAATATATTGTGCATTTACTGGGCATGGATTTTGATTCTTAGTCGGCTTTTGAGTGAGGCAATGCAACCACGTGACCAAATCTGTGTCGTAAGACCCTCCACCACCCGATACATTTATATTGTCACGTGTAAAAGCGCTTAATGTGTCATTGTCAGTTGACCGGTGAGTTGAAGAACAATCCTCGCAACCAATTGTAGCAGATGCGACGTGTCGTTTTTCCCATTCCGACGACGTACGGGTACCTCATCAGCCTCGGTACGTCTTTTGACTTGAAGTTATTTTATTTAAGTTTTTCTTCCGATTTCGTTCCGATGATGTACGTGTGTACGTCATCGGAACAGAACCTGAAGAAAAACTTAAGTAACTTTTATCAGAACGTCTTCAGGTCAGAAGACGTACCGAGGCTCCCACAAGGCCATGCGGGAGGGCGTGTGGCACAGTTTTGGCGCCAGCTGTCACAGAGTGCGGTCGTGTCTGTGTTGATTACAATGCCTTTAAACATGGCGGCGCTACACCTCAAATAAAAAAATAACGCTGAACCGCTCCGAGCTTCAGCGGTGAACGGGACCCCACCCTGCAACTTGCGGGCGTCTCGGCAACGGGAAAGCGGCTTAATTGATTCACAGCCGGGAACAGGTTGGCAGAGCCTTCGCGGTAGCGCCAGCCGCCGGCGCGATGTCTCCTTGACGAGCGGCGCCCGCCAGGTACGACGTGGAGTCGCACTACGCCTTCGTGGGCGACTTTGCGGGCCAGGTGACCGTGCTGAAGCTCGATGCGGGCAGCTGCAGCATCATCACCACGCTCAAGGGACACACGGGTAAAGCCTGGGCCGTGGCACGCCTCCGAGTGCACAGGCGGTGCACCTGCACTGCGGTGATCCTACATCTTAAACTATGAACTGTGTTGTATTTGACCAGGTATGGCCCCCACTGAGCTATGTAGCTCTTTCTCAGAAGCGACCTGGCTATCAGAATTGATAGCTCAACGAAGTGGGCTTCTCATGTGGAGATTTATAGCACTCAAAAACCGCACGTTGATTCTAAATGCGGGGGGGGAAAACCGGTAAGACCCCGAGAAAATCCATGCAACCACAGGGACGGAGAGAGAGACATGCGTACTCCAAATATACAGCAGGCGTCAGGGTCAGGATCGAACTCACGACCTCCTGTGTATCAGGCGAGGTAGTTAACATCTAGCCACCGTGATGATGATGATGATGAGAAAAAGAGAGACACGCAAACTCCAAATATACAGCAGGCATCAGGTTCGGGATCGAACCCACGAACTCCCGTATACTAGGTGAGGTAGTTAACATTGCCTAGCCACCGTGATGATGATGATGAGGAGAAAGAGAGAGACACGCAAACTCCAAATATTTAGCGGGCTTCAGGGTCAGGATCGAACCCACGACTTCCTGTATACCAGGCGAGGTAGTTAACATCTCGATACCACGGAGGCCCGGGTGGAAGGGTCTGACCCCAAGCCCTTGGGATAACCATAGCATGGTTGGCTACCTATGGTGCGAAAGAAGTTCAACATAGTACACTTCTGAATTAAGCAACGCATGCTGACTTTACACTGGTAGGGGGTGGGGGCGAAGGCAAAGGGCAACTTCTGATACAGGCACACTACTTCACAGAACCCAGAAGTTCAAAAGAAGTGAACTTGGCGGGTGAAGCCCATTGAGCTTCCACTCGGCCAACAGGCGATAGCAAAGCGTCACAGATTACAAAGCGGCCTATGCAGGCTGGATGGGGGGGGAGGGGAAACTGCGCCACACACGCGCGTGTGTGGCGCAGCTGTTACCACGCTGCGCTACGAACCCGCAAGCCGGGTTCGTGTCTGTGTGTGTAGCGGTTAGCACGCTGCGCTATGAACCCGGCGACCCGGGTTCGATTCCCGCTCACGGCCAACACCAGTGACGATTATCTGAACCGGTCCTGGGCATCCCCTAGGTCGACTCAGCCTCAAATGAGTACCTGGTGCAGTGTGTAAACATTGCCACTAGGGAGACAAAGGCGGTCGGGCGTGGTGCTAGCCACCCACCCCCTCGTGTACCGTTCGGGCCTTCATAGGTGCTCGCTAACAGCACTTGCCCCTACAGTCTGTTAAGGCTACACGGGGGATCTTTGATCTTTGTTTGCAGGGAGCATCGGCTCTCTGTGCTGGGACCCCGTGCAGAAGCTGCTGTTCTCCGGCTCGTCTGACAACGCCATCATCATGTGGGACATCGGCGGCCGCAAGGGCACAGCCATCGAGCTGCAGGGACACAGGTGGGCACCGCGTCTCCGGCCACATCGTCATTTCGATGTATGTATGCGTGTACGTTGAACTTCTTTCGCACCGTACGTAGCCAACCGTACGAATCGAGGGTTAAGTGTGCTGCCGTGTGTGACCTCTGGAGTCATTATCTCTTCCGCGTGTGCTGCCCGGCCCCCCCACCCACCCCCTCCTCCCCATCCCGCCCCCCCCCCCCCCCCAACGTGCCGGCTCAGGAACAAAGTGCAGGGCCTGTGCTACGCTCAGCCGACGCGGCAACTGCTGTCGTGCGGCTCGGATGGATCCATCGTCGTGTGGAACATGGACGTGCGGCGGCAGGAGGTGCGCGTCTTCGTCGGCTGGAAAAGGGGGGCGGGGGAGGGGGGGGGGGCACCGTGATAAAAAGACGATGCCTCCGAAAGCGAGCGACGCCGTAGAATGTTAACGTGAAATGAGGGGCATTCTCCGGACTGTCCAGGCGCTCCGGAAAGTGAGACGCGCCTCAGACGTGTGTCCGTAGACTCGGCACGAATCTGACCTCGCTGGCGCACCTACTGGGTTACCCGGACACAACCCCCGCCCCACCCCCTTCCCCCCAACTTTTGCTCGCCCCCAACTCGTCCCCCCACCCCATTCACCCTGCCCCCCCCCTCCCCCCCCCTACCCCCCCTACCACTCCTCTCTGCGCCGCGTCAGACCCCACAGTGGCTGGAGAGTGACTCGTGCCAGAAGTGCGCGCAGCCCTTCTTCTGGAACTTCAAGCAGATGTGGGACAGCAAGACCATCGGCCTGAGACAGGCAAGGCGCGCGGGAGACACGTGGGGGGTGTGCGCCCGTGCGGATCTGTGTGTGTGCTTGCGATTTGTAGAGCTCCGGGTAGAATGCGCACCGAGTGTTTTACGCATTCAAAAAATATAAATTACGTACGACTTGACATTTTTTTAAATTCATAATTGATATATGGGTTAGGCTACGTGATGGCGAGCAAAATAATATGTTCATCGTACAGACTGACCCCAATATCGATTACAAATCACAGCATTGGCTGTGAAAATCTTAGGTGTTAAGTTTCAATTTGACATGTAATAATTATACAGCGGACTCGAGCTGCGCATCCATAATTATGCGTGTGTTATTTTCACCAAGCCGACTCGTTTATGAACCTGGCCTGGACCTCCTCTAGGTTGACCCAGCCAAAAGCGAGTACCCGTCGCGGTGTGGTCAATGTAGCCGCAGGGACTTCGACAACAGGGCATTGAGAAGGTGCAGCGGCACCCGTTGTATGCCTAAGAGACGATTGTAGGTACCTCGGAAGTAGTTCCGTGACGTCTTCTTCTGGACGCCGTTATCTAGATTGGGGTTACACTGCTATCCGCTCGAGTCCCGAATGGAAATGTATCGGTGTCATCGCACGATTACAGTTGCACCATTCCTGAACTTGTAATTGGAAGGGCGAAAAAAAAAACACTTCGGAGAGGAACAGCCAGGCGTGGGTGCCGGCCAACGCCACTCGCGAGCCACGCCGGCCTTAATAGGTGCTCGCCGACTGCGCTTGCCCCCACAGCTCTACACGGCTCAGTCATTCGTTCGCATTGCCCAAAACAACGTCGCTGGGTGTCACACCCTGGAGGCACCCCTACGCCCACGGGTCACCGCCATTCGTTTATTTCAAAAGCTCAGTGCAACGGGGAGGACCCCAAACCCCGAGCTCATCCACGCGAATCGACTGACCGACCGGCCCGTCGCTTGCCGGACCGGGGGCTCGCTTCGCCCCCGGCTTTGCGTGTCAACGTGTCACCGTGTCACCGTGCTCATCCCCTCTTCTTCCTCCCCTCCTCCTCCTGCGCGCGTGCAGCACCACTGCCGTAAGTGCGGGATGGCGCTGTGCGCCAAGTGCACCGCCCAGCGCTCCACCATCCCCATGCTGGGCTTCGAGATGGAAGTGCGAGTGTGCGACCCCTGCTACGAGTCCATAACCGACCAGGAGTGAGTGCCCCCTTGCCTCCCCCCCACTCGCGCCTGCCACGCCACGTCACACGCACAGCACTCGTCGCGATGAGAGTTGTTGATATGGGGACGGTCCTGGAATTGGCGTCTTGCGTTTGGGGTGGCAGGAACTTGATTCGTGGCGCATCCGCCGCTCGTTGCGGACGTCCGATTGAACGTGTGTGTGAAGAGCTTCGTGGCTCATCGGATTCCTGCAGTCTAAATGAAGATCCCGAGATTTTGATTTTGAGGTTGCGTGTCATTAGCCGTCTGCTTCACACGTCATTTGCAGGAGTAGGCCTTCGTGTGCCCGGCGTCAACAGTCGACGTTTGCCAAAAATGACCCGCAAGTTTTACCCAATCGGAATCTACGCGGCAATCGTCGCCCCCCCCGACTGCGAAAGCTTGACAGGACCTTTTGAGACTTTGCTGTGTAAACAAGCTTGGTAATGTTGATGGCGGTGATGACGCACGCACCCTGCACGTTCACCTGCGCGCCTCCGTGCGTGCCCTGCAGCCGCGCCCCCATGGCCACGTTCCACGACAGCAAACACAACGTGGTGCACATGCAGCTGGACCTGACGCGAAGCTGGCTGCTGACCTCCGGCACCGACAAGGTCATGAAGGTAACGGCCGTCGGGGACGTCTCTCGCGAGCGCACACAGTCCATTTTTGCGTCTCGCGCTCCCACGCGCGCGTAGCGCCGTCGTCGTCGGCGTGGTGAAGTATGGTCAAATACCCTCGGTGACCCGCGTGGCTTGGGGAGGCCCCCTTGTCCGGCAGTGGACTCCAAGGAGACGATACTGACCATACGTACCAAGAAACTTGTTACACTCTTACCTCTTCAACAACTGTGCAAGCACTGTTTGTTGCTGGCCACTTCACGTTTGGGCTTAAAAACAAGAAAGGCAAGTGCAGTACATTTACGCGTTTTGGAGGTAACACGAACAATTTAAACTTGTGACACAAATCAACGGGCTGTTGAACTTTTCGATTTAAAGCTTTCTTGACTTTCGAAGCACTGTCGTCCCGACAGTTCTGTTCTTTCACCTGAAGCGAAGGCTACTTGTGTTGTGGCCGAAACGTCGTGAGAATTTTATTGTCTTATTTTATTTTATTATTTTATTCTCATTCTACGTGACTTTACCGAAAGAACCAAAGAAGATGGGCTGTTGAACCTCATGATAAATGTTTCCCTACTGCGAATTCTCCATCAGCTCCACATCATTTTTTTATTTTACCAGGTAAGGCCCGCTAAGCTATGTATCTCTTTTTCAAAAGTGATCTGGCCACAAATGGTAGCTCAACGAAGTGGATTTTGACGTGTACATTTAAAACAACCAAATTGCGGGGCACGCGCGGTCCAAGTACACAGAAGGCTGGGATGGGACTTACGACCTCCTGCATGCCAGGCGAGGTAGTTGAACATCTCGTCAGATGCGGCGGTCCCCAGGTCATCGAGTGTACTCGCTCAAACTCCAGCGCGGCACTGAGACGCGACGAGGAAGCAACGACGTTCCGGGTGACCTCGTGGCACGACTGCTCAGCCGGCTGACCCATTGACCCGTTGACCCTCGTCCGCCTGCTCTCCGTCCGCAGCTTTGGGACGTCGCGTCCGTCATCTCGTGAGGGTCGCGCCGGGTCACGCCAGGTCACCAGGCCTGGCGCGGTCGACGTGGGGGTGGGAGAAAGTGAAGGCGACGACCGTGACGATAACGACGACCGTGACGATGACGATGAAGAACCACCGCCACCACCGCTGCTGCCTGGTGCACTCCGATCTGCCGCCGTCCCGGACTCCACCGATCGATCCCCAGGGTCCTCCTGCACCTGCGTGGTGAACGTGGCTACGTTCCGCGCGGGGGCGCTCATCCAATCCGCGATATCTTTACTGCACGGCACACACACACTTATACTTGTGTACAGACACTTAAGACACGCACGTGTGCAGACGTGTACAGGCATGTGTTTGCAGACACGTATACACATGCCCACATGTGCCCAGATACTTGTGCACACACACGTGCGCGCGCACACACACGCGCGCGTGTGCATATATGTATAATAGAACTCGCGTGCGCACACACACACGTACAGGGATGCATGTATATGCACACATGTGCAACGACATAAGCATATACATGCGCATGCATACACACACTTATACGTTTGCCACATACACAAATGAATGCGTGAACACCGATACGCACACACACACACACTAACACGTGCACTCGCATACACCTGTATGAATGCGCACGACTATACGTACACACACACGTGCTTGAACACAGCTACACACATCTGTGGACACACACATACACACATATATACTCATGTGTGCACACAAACGACTCTCTGCAGCCTTATAGACTTGATAGAGGCACATGCTGTTAGCGAGCACCTATTAAGGTCAAATGGCACACAAGAGGCTGGTGTCGCCAGTGGTGTTCACACACCAACACTCGGTACTCATTTAGGGCCAAGTTAACCTATTGGAGGTTCAGATATCACTCGCCACCGATGTTAGCCACGCCCGGGAATTGAACCCTGGTCACCGAGATCGTAACGTGGTGCGGGGAACCACTTGCCAACGCCGCTCCACCGGCACGTTCCGAGGGCGCACGTTCCCGAACAAAAAAATCGACTTCCGCTCTTGGTGCCGTCACTTTTTGCGAGCGTCTTCCGCAGGCTCAGAGACCCGTTCGTGCTGTCGGCAATCGCCGAACGAGTCGCAACATTCGGCACAAGAACGCTCGCACGGCAGCCCGTTGCCCGTGCGTTCGAAGAACGGCCCGCAGAAGGAGATTACCGCAGGACTGCTTCTGTAATCCCCTTTTTTTTTGTGTTCACGCACTTAAATGACGCGTGCACTTTATTGCCACCCGAGCCGCCGCCGCCGCCGCCGCTGCTGCAGAGAAATGTTCATCGCGTGACGGTCAAACTGTGCTTTTAATGTTCACCGCTGGAATGCATCCAAATTGAGTGCGAAACCCAAGTTTTCTTTTTCTCGTTCGTTTGTCCGTGCGGTCATTGGCGACGAGGTCGGAGAGGCCATCGGCCCGCTGCGTTGGAGAACCTGGGTTTAATCGCGGGCAGCAGCCGACACCCCGCACTCAAACCCAGGATCTCAGCGGAGCCAGCTTGGTGCCCTCTGAACCCCCCCACCTGACCCCCCACCCCCACCCCACCTGACCCCACTTCACCTTGCACAGAATCGGTCTTCGCGAAATACGGCGTTACGGACGCGTGCTTTTTGGTACAACTATCGCAAGCCCTGCCCTGGGTGAACGCCTCCGGCTGTTACAACAGTGTGGCAGAGCCACGTTGGCAGGTGTTGTGACATTGCTCAACACGGGATCCGATTTTCTCCCCCCCCCCCAATCCCCCTCAATGGAACCCCGATACCTGCATTGCCACCTGCAGTTCGTGGTGTAATTATGGAACTTAAACCTTCCCCCCCCCCCCTTGATACAATGAGCTAAGAAGGGATAGGAGGGTGCAGTATTTATCTCCCGTAACATCACTATGAATGATTTGTACGTAGTCTAATTGAAGAAACAGTTTTTTTATTCGAGATCCATTTTAGCAACGCAGACTTGTCGGGGACAAAAATATCCATCCCGGGTTTCCCATTATTCATCTGTCGGCCGTTACCATTCCCACATATGGAATGCTGATTCCATGGAAATCGTGCACTCATTCAGAGTTAAAAATGCGGTAATTTCATCGTGAACGAAATAAAATCTGGCTTTGGGTTGTTTTGAGTGTGGATTGTGGACTTCAAATTGCACCAGAACGTGACAGTCCAGTCCTGATCTGCGAATCCACGTCAGATTTTCATGCCAGCCAGTTGGCTTTGATGACACAGGACTTCTTGTGTTGAAATTGCCTTGTGAATGGGGGTAATGACGGCACAGCGATCCCTTAATGAGTATCCATCCGTGCCACGACTTTTGCGGACTGTCTACGCGCCGGACAAATGGACAACATTCACGCAACTGCCGTGAGCGTTGTACAGAAGTAGCCGCGCACCCTTGTGGTTGATTGTGGATTACCAAAATGTGTCCGATCGGATTCGTGTTGGCGCCAAACGTGGACAGGATTTAATTTCCCCGAATTTGTCAGCGACGGGTGGCGTCTAAAATGCTGCCACGGCACTGGCCTGGCTTTATGGCCAAGAACAAAATGCAGTCATCCCTTTCACCTATCACTTTCTCTGCACGCAAAAAAATATATATTTCTAAAATCTTACACTGTCCATGATCCCTAACGGCCTCTGGTAGCGCATGATTTCAGCAGCGTTGATTCGGTACAAGCAAACTACCGGTTTTGATGCACAGTGTCTCGTCAGCAGTCGGGCTCGCTTGAGCTCTTGCTGGTGAACTGTGAGATGGCAAGGGGGGGGGGGACCCCCCTCTCTCTGAGACAGGGTTCCCACTGCGCTCTCTTCTCTTCACGGCCGGAAGTGGCCCGCGAGTTTTAATTCCGTACGGCAATGGCGTGCAAACGATATTCAGTCGCTGCGAGCGTCTTGGGCTGCACTCATCGGGTGCCCGAGGAGGGTGGTGATGGGGGGGGGGGCATTTGACCAGGGAATTACTACGGCACATCCAGTCACTGCCTTCACTACAAGGGGGGCCCTCTTGCAGTGGCACAAGAAGCGACCGGCGCTTTCCACGTGCGGTGGATTCCACCAAAGGTGTGTGAAAGTCCTCCTGGTATCTCACGACGCGGGCCCCCCCCCCCCCCTACTTGCGATGGCAAGGGGCAACGCGCGCTGCATTTGAAAGCGCGCAGCTTCTCGTTGCCCTGCTCGCCTTTGATCAAATCTGGGATGGGCGACTTCCACCCCCACACCACCACCACCACCCACACCACCACCACCACCCACTTACACGCCGACCATTCTTCCACCCACCACTCGGAAGTTTTACTCGGTGGACAAGCCTTGGCCAGCTGGATGTACATGTTGAACTTATTTCGCACCGTACATAGCCAACCGTGCTAATTTTAAGTTCGAGGGAAAGACGACGAGCTAAATATAAAACGCAGTTCGAAAGAAATGAATTTTTCAATTTAGATTTAAAAGTGCATAGCTCCGGTGGCTTCCTAACATCGGAAGAGCGTTCCAGACGGCCGCAAAAGCGCGCGATGCGGCGACCGTCTTTGTTCGATGATTCGCCAAAACATAAATATCTGGAACATAGACCGCCAATACAAACGAGACGGTACAAACACAGAGACAAAATAGACTTCACCAAAACAAAAGTCGCCACCGGGAGTGGTGAAACTTCACCTGTTCGGTGTCGGCAATACTGCAGGGGTGCGCCCAATCTCTCCCTGGGTTCTAGCCTCTACGATTGAAAGGTTTTGTGAACGTGGGTTGATGGCTTAACCTGGGATGGTGCAGGGCGGCTCGTTACGGGAGGCTGGTCTGCTCGTGCTGTCTACGCTGCGGGCGAGGCCTACCGATTTCTGCTGTAGAACGTACTTTGTGCTGATGAATCGGGTGCACAATGACCCTTGTTTACCGGAGAAAGCCTCGCCGAGTCTCCAGAATTATTTATTCAGGAGCGGTCCTGCCAGGGTTCACGCAGCAGGGGGCGTTGTTGCGTTGTGAAAATCCCAACCGAGTAACTTGCAGGTGATTTTTTTTCAGCATTAGGATATTTGGCCAATACCTGTTACTTTGTGTGTGTTTGAGAAGTTTAAAAGTGAACCTGGCCCCCATGATTTGATTTTTTGCGATGAGGTGTCATCGTTCCATTGTGTTTTTTTAAATGGTGAATGTAGCGGCCACGAGTGGCTGCAGGGATGACGTGAACCCATTGCATGAAAAACACGCTGGTGGAAGAGCATCGATTCTTACACCTGCGAGTTGATGCGTGCATCGCGAGTTTTAGAATCTTGTTAATCGGTTCATTGATGCATAGTTTTGTTTATCATCAATGTTATGGTTATTTTCCCGCAGGAAAACTTTGGTTACATTTTCCTGAATCGATTTTGTTTAGGTCCAATGCGTTTCACTGTTGCAACCCTTACAACTCCCGACAAAGCAAAGTTAACAAAACTGAAAATAATTCTGCGGTACAATCATTCTCCACGGGTTGCCATTAGCACTTGTGTTAAATACAATCTCTTTAATTGACGCTCAAAGTTAAAGCGCTCATTATTCCTTACACTGATGCTTAGCCTGTATACCTTAGGCGTGTGACGATTTCCCCCCTCCGCGATTTGTTAATTATCACGATGCAGGGTTGCGATTTAATTATTTGTTTTAAGTGTTGAATGTAGCGCCTCTCGTGGCTGCAGGGGTCACACTAATTCCGCCTCGCGTGGGAGTCGTTACTCGGAGCATCCTTCGTAGCTAAATACATGACACTGTATAAACACCACGCGTTTGAGGAAAATCCACACTTTGGGGACACAACTGGTTAAGACAAAACACGCAAATCATTTTCACCCGACAGTCCTAGTGGCCTGCAAGGTCGTGGGGTGTGCTCCGTGGAACTCCTTAGCAGATAAGGAATATTTCGTCGGTTTTTATATGTTCAAAAAGTTTTTTGTCGATTGGTGGCGCGTCAAAAACATGGTTTTTTTTTTAGGGTTGACGGTCGTCCGTATTAGTCGTCAGTCCCCCCATACAGGTCGGGGAACCTACTGCACGAGACACCTACGGACACCAACGGGACACCAATGTGATCATTCTAAGAGTCGACAAATCCACTGGAAAATAATTGGTACTTTTATCAATTTGTTTGCAACAGCGAGGATTTTTTTTTTTTTACTTAAATCCAGCACTGCTGACCAACGAGTTCAAACCCACGACCACAGCGTGTGAGGTTGCGTGCGTGGCTTTTAGGACCCCCCCCCCCCCCGTGCCCGCCACGGAACGTACAGCCCGTGTTCTCCGGGATTTGTCCCCACCTGCCCTCACCCCGGGGGGGCGAAGGGGGATCTCCATCTCGCCCAGGCTGCTCTTTGCGAAACATCGCCGGAGCGTAAATACAAAACTTCCAGTCCGTCGGTTGATCGACGATCGAGCGAGCACAGAATGCTCGTGCGTGGCGGGTACTTTGTACCACGACCGGGACCTACAATCTGAGAAATATACTTCACGGCGTTCCAGATTTATGTTTTATTCTTTAGTTACTATTTTGAGTTTGATTTTTTTTCTCGTGTGCGTGCGTGCGTGCGTTTCTCCGCGGTTTTGTGTGGAAACTGTACTTAAGTGTGAATCGTGACGTGCGGGTAGGGCACGCAATTTAAATAAACGGGGCTCTGCTGGATTGTGGATGGAGTTTTAACTCTTTCCCCCCCCCCCCCCACCTGTGAGAGTTCCTCCTTTCACTGCATTCAGGAAAAAAAGGTTCCAGTGTCAAATGTGCAACAATACCATTTAAAGTCACTTTATAAGAGGTCACACATTTTTGTTACATCAGTGCCGGTAAATTACAGAATGAGCAAAGTCGTTTCGTATGTTTTACAAACACATTCTGCTTTTTGTGTTTAGTTTGTTGTCCTTCCCCCGCACCTCCGATGAGCACCGGTTGGCTACGTACGGTGCTTTAAGAAGTTCGACATAAATACACATTCTCCCCAATGCAAAACACCCAAACCTGACAGTTCGCATGCAGTGCGGTCAATTGACATTTTTAAAAATGCTAAGAGTAACTGAGAAAGAGCTGTAGATTTACCTGGCTAATACGGAGCGTTCCGAGTCCAATTCCGCTTGCAATTGTTCAGGCCCCAGTTCGTTTAAGGACTACATTCTCACCCGGTACTACGATAGTCGGACTCCCACCAGCCATCCGTGCAGTTGAATCCCTGCCGCTGTTCAAGTCCACGCTCAAGTCCTTCCCTTTTCTCCCCTCCTTGGCTGACTGCGTCTCCCTCCCTGTAGAATGGCCGGGACGCACCGTAGCTGGCCTGATGGCCGCCGAAAAATAAACGTTCTGGCTCAAGTGGCTTTGCAGTTGAGGGTCAATAAAGTTAGTACCACTTTGTGGCGAAGTCAACAGTGGCTGTGCTCTAAGGGAGATTCGTCCCTGGCATAGCAATGTGGAATTTCCTGCAGTGGTTCAGTGCTGTGAACAGGAGCCGAAGCACTCCATCAAATTGCTCGCTGACCCTTTTACCGTTACTCCACAGCGACTTGAGATGAGCTTGCATTTAGACGCCACGTCAAATCCACCACAATTCATACAAAACTCGCCCACAATGCGTTGCAGATAACATTTGCCCGAGCATTGCCTACACTTATGTTCGGGCTGACATTCATGTCCTCCCATCATCACCGTAAAAATGTTGGGGAGTTTCTGCACCATCCCCCGTTAGAATTGGGTGCCGTGGTGGCACTGGTTGGTGAACTGTGACGAGAACCTGGAAAGCAACTCATAATTATGAATAATATTGGTCGCGAAAGCCTGCTACGTTTAAACTGGAAAGCAAGCGTTTGACTTTTAGCCACGTCCAACATCAGCGGGGGGGGGGGGGGGGGGGGGGGGGTGCGAGCGGAGCAGAGTCCTCGGCACCCCGTTCACCAAGTGACGGGCGTGGTGAAGTACGGCCAAACCACCCCCATCGCCGACACAGCGTGCGGAGGCTTTCATCCAGAAGCGGGATTCACAAAAGGCCGTAAAATTTGAATTTACTGAATAAATAGGTTTAACGTACGGATGGATGTTTGAAATGACATGTCATGACAATATTCTTAGTTCTTTCGGTAAAGTCACGTTGAAGGGAAACAACAAAATAATAAAATATATATAACAATAAGAACTAAGAATATGAATTACTGCAGTCACGAAAGCTTTTAAATCAAAAATGTCATGACAAGTTCCAAATAGTTTGCTGCCTCTGCATAGGAATGCTGTACAATACCCACACTGCCTCGCTTTCATTTCAACGGCTACTGAACTGTTCTCAATAACACAAATGACGGCAATATTTGCTTACAAAAAACAAGAGCGGTACACAGGTCAGTCGGCCTCAAATTATCCCCAACATCGTAATTTACCAAAATATAAAAAGCCCCTCTAATTTCGCTCCAATCGAGGATACGTCCCAAGTCGTGAATCTGGCAGAATCGGCGACGATCTTCCAAATTCTTCGGACGCCTCACGCGGGGACCTTGAATCGCGCGGCGATTTCTTCGAGTTTTCCCATGAGCCTCTGCGCTTCGGCGTCAGAGGAGCGAGTCCAGGCCAGCGGGAGATGCGTCGCCACAGCCTTGCGATCTGGGGGTGACGCCACACCGACTCAATGCACAGTCGCTGGCAGGAACAGCCTCTTTGCCATCGCGATGGTACCACCATCGCGTTACATTCCACTCCCCAAGTATCGCCGTTCGCCTTCGCGGTCTACGGAGACCGGGAGGGAAGTGGGCGACCTTGAGCGACAACTCTGAGGAGCGCGGTTGGTCTACGTACGGTGCAAAAGAAGTTCGACAATACACGCGCGCAAGTCACGCGCAGTCGCACCCGAAATAAGTTTTCATAAGCGAACACCAATCGCGACAGCTGCCAAAACCTACGTTTGCCAACATCGGGCTTAGGGAAAGACGAGGTCCCGTGACGTCGCAACTGGGGCCCTCCTGCTCTCGCGCCCTTACCCTGGAAGAAGAGGCCGCTAGGGTGGGCTCGAGCGGCGGGGGACAGCGCCAGCCACACCGCCGTGTCGGCGCCCTGCTCCTCCGTGCGCAGCCGCCCCTTCATGCGCCGGTGGAATTCCGGCATGGCCGTGCGCACCGCTGCACAGAGACATAACGCCGCCGGCACCGTCGCCGTTTAGCCTCGCAGGCTGCGGGGGGACGGGGCACTGTTAGCGAGCGCCTCTTAAGGCCGGTATCCTGGAATTGCCCTTGTACTGCTCCGGTCAAGGCGGGGGCCAAATGAGGATTTGCATAACGCCAGGTGAAGTGTGGGTTGCGTGTCTCTCTTGTGTTACCGTTGGTACCTAAGTCCAGCATAACGGGTGGGTTGTGCGTGTCTCTTGTGTTACAGGTGGTACCCAAGTCCAGCGTAACGGGTGGGTTGTGTGTCTCTTTTGTGTTACCGGTGGTACCTAAGTTCAACAACGGGTGGGTTGTGCGTGTCTCTCGTGTGTTACCGGTGGTACCTAAGTCCAGCGTAACGGGTGGGTTGTGCGTGTCTCGTGTTACCGGTGGTACCTAAGTCCAGCATAACGGGTGATTTGTGCGTGTCTCTTGTGTTACCGGGTGTGTCTGCCCATCCCGGGTGCATGCTGGAGAAGTGAACGCCTCTGTGCTGCGCTGCCCACTGCTCGGTCATCGCCACTTGCTGCCGCTGCTCGCGATCGCGTTCCGAACGACAAACAAAGAGATTGTTGGGTTTAGGCCACGCAATGACCCGGCGTCAAGGCCCTACCACCACCGGGACACAGACACATTTGTCACGTGTGCAACAAGCGTCGAACACTTCCTGGATTTTACTCTCGACTTTTCTGGATCTTCTCCTGAAGACACGAGGCATAATTTCGAGTAAGCCGTCATATCCAATCGCTCAAATTTGGTAACGAAAATTGCTCTTTGACTGACCGGTGAGCCGAGACAATATGATGTTTTATTATATTTCACCATCCCGCGCTGGACAGCGTGGCGAGGTATAGCTACAAAACCGAGAGCGGACAGGACACGCGAGAAGGGAATTGTAGAGCGGTCATCGCGCTGACCTTGTTCTGGGAGTAGACCATGGTGCCGTCAAACGGACCTCGCTCCACCTGGAGGTCATCGGGGTCAAGCTTCTGCACCAGCATCCCGCCCGACGACACCGTCACCTGCACACGTGCGCACACACGTGTCGTGACGGGTACTGCAAGATCCGACCGTGGCCGTCCGGTGCTCGCTGAGCTGCGTTGGCTTCCGGTCGCCGAACGGATACGTTATGATATGGTCGCGCTCATTACACACATTTTGGCTGCTGGGCCATCGATCAAAGACGGCGGTCACCGCATCGCGCGGCGCTTTCAGATGCGCTTCTGCGGCCGTCTGGAACGCTCTTCCGTCCGATATTAGGAAGCCACTGGAGCTATGCATTTTAAAATCTAGATTGAAAACTCAGTTCTCTCGAACTGCTTTTTGTGTTTAGTTCGTTGTCTTTCCCCACACCTTTGATTAGCACGGTTGGCTATGTACAGTGCTAAGTAAGTAAAAAAAGATACGGTCTACATAGACTTGAAATATTGTTTGCGATGTTTACATACTGCCCAGATACTCATTTGAGGCCATATCCAAAACTGTTCCTGGGCCCACAATGCACCGCGGCGGTCCCCACGCAATGACCTTGCACCCCCCCCCCCCCGTCGCGCCTCACGGTTCGTACCACTCGAGCGTCGTCGCCGCTCTTCTCCAGCAGGGGCAAGAAGGCCGTGGTGAGGATGTAGGTGCCTGATTAAATCGACAGCAAGGGGTGGGGGAAAAAAACAGAAATAAATCGAATCAAATCACGCACACGGACGGGGGTCCGGTCATGATTTTTCCCCAACGCGACGTCGTCAAGCTTCAAGGTGCGCGACGAGGTGACGCCGCCCGTAACGTGGGATGACGTTGGGGCAGCGGCCGCGGCCCCAATGCTGCCTGCAGTCCAGCGCTGTGGAGGCAGCAGCGAGGGTTGGTGGTTCACCGCGCGCAGATGTCGCGTGGAACTGTCTTAGCGTGAGCGTCGAGGAGCCCGTACACTTGCTGTGGAACCCACCTGTTCCATCTGTATGGGGTAGGTCGTTGTCCCCACGCACGCATGGGTTTTCTCCTCCCACGTGCATATTAATTTGCCGATAACACCTTAATACGTAGAGGGCCGCAGAGCTTTGGGAGGAATTTGGCACTGGCTCCCCGCTACCTGGCTGCTGCTGTTGCTGCCTTCCACCTTGTCTGTGGTTCCCTCTCGCACCTCTTGAGACGTCCCCGCGTCTCGCTCGACGAGAGCGAGGAGCGAACGCAGTGGCAGCGGACGCGGGGCGTGACAAGTGAAGTTATGACGACGTCGTCGTAATAATCGTCAACTTGCAACGCGGCTCTTTGGCGGTGGCACGGCGTCACGAGTCGACGATTATTATGACGGCAAGACGAGACCCGGCAACGAGCGGCCGCCAGTTCTCAAACGTGTCACGGCGCCGATTTTAAAACACGCTCGCTGCAGTTCGCCGAGCGGACCCGCCGCTTGAAAGTCGTCCGTCCCGGCCGCAAGCAACCGGTTGCGCAACGGCTCCGCAACCCGGTTGCGCAACGGCTCCGCAACCCGGTTGCGAGACGCGCCCGCGTACAAGGAGATTCGGTCGCGCCCAACCAAGAGACCGCCCAGGTTGGAACCCGTCTTCGGAAAAAGAAATGGAACCGAGGCGGGGTGACGCGCCCCGTTAACGCACCGTGTCGATGTCGAGATGTTTGCCGCGGCTGCGTTGGCAGCTGGGCACAAGCACAGCGCTCGCAAGATAACTCGACGCGTTCATCGACATTTCTGTGGCCTTCAAAAGGAGCGGGTTTGTAAACTTATATTTTTTAATTCGCCAGGTAAGGCAGCACTGAGCTATACAGCTCAAATATACAACAGGCGTAAGGGTTGGGATCGAACCCACGACCTCCTGTATACCAGGCGAGGGAGTCAACATCTGTGAGAAAGCAGAGGGGTAATTTCCCAAAGGCCACAGAGGCTTTGACTATAGTGCCTTACCCAGTGTGTTTGTGGCAAAGCTTTTCTCAAGTCCGTCCGCGGTGAGCTCCCTCTGGTTCACCATGCAGCCAGCGTTGTTCACCTACGGGCAGAGAGTGCGTGTGCTCATTAGTGGAGAGAGAGACACTACCTGGAGTTCCCTCCCTCTTGTGCGCTGTGGTGGTGGCGGTGGTGATAGTGATGGTGGCGATGGTGGTGTTGATGGTGGTGGCGGCGATGGTGGTGGTGTTGATGGTGGTGGCGGCGATGGTGGTGGTGTTGATGGTGGCGATGATGGCGGTGATGGCAGTGGGTTTCCTCCCCGGCACGAACCGTTTAATCTTATCCACACCGCGCGCAACCACCGCAACCTGCAGGTGGCAACACTTCCCCCGTTCCGCTCTGCTCGGTCCCGGCCCTTGGCCAACACCCGGGCGAAGCTGGACGGGAACCTTTCGGCGGAACGATGCGGCGCGACCGAAGCACCACGTCGCTCGCTCTTGCCGCCGCCGCTGCCAGCGGTTTGCCAAAAGGCCAAACCGCTCGGCGTGTCGGTGCGGGCGGCGGCTTGACCGGCTCGGCCACGCCGGGCGAGGGCGGGGGGCCTTTCAGCCGCGGCGTTGCGTGGCCTCACGCCGGTGGAGACTTCAGTTTGTTTGGTCGTCGTGTTCAAACGGGGGGTGCCGCAGCAGTCTTCCTTCCGCCGTTTTGGGACAGATGAAGAGTTTTATTGTTTAAAGACCACTCGTAGTGCGATCATCTTCGGCTGCACTCGTTAGCAAGGTGCCGAATTTGGGAAATGGACTGCACAGGCAAGCGTTGCTTGATAAAAACAATGATACAAACGCGAAAATCCATTTAGCGAAGCCACGTCCCGCCACCCCGCTAGTGAGCAGCCGCCACCAGCCACCGCCGACGTCAACGCCTTCGCCGTAGTTCTTCGTGTATCTTTCTTTTTATATATATAAAAAAAAATGTTGGACCAGGTAAGACCCCCACTGAGCTATCATAGCTCTTTTTCAGAAGCCAGTTGGCCATCACAAATGGTAGCCCAACGAAGTGGGCTTATCATCATCACCATCGTCATCATCGTCGTCATCGTCATCATCACCGTGGCGTGGAAAATTACCGCAGCCAAATACTCTAAACCGCATGTCGATTCTAAATGTGGCGAGAAGAACCGGAGGAACCGTAGGAAAATCGTGACCACGGGCAGAGAGAGAGACATGCAAACAGCAAATATACAGGTGTCAGGGTCGGGGTAGAACCCACGATCTCGTGTATACCAGGCGAGGTAGTTAACATCTCGTCACCGTGGCGTATATGTCAAGGACTCGCTCCTCCTCCACCTCCCCCCCCCCCCCCCACCCCCCCCACCCCCACCCCCCCTCCTCACCAGGACGTTGAGCGTCTCGTTCTCCTTCTTGAAGTTTTCCGCAAACTCCCAGACCTTGCTTGGGTCGGACATGTCCAGCAGGTGCACGAACACGTTCTGCCGCGAGACGGGAGAACGGACGATTTGGCGGAAAGTCTCTAAAACGCTACGCGATTAGCATGCTGCACGTTTTCGGTCATCTTATTAATATATATTTTACACGGGTCAATGGTCAGGGCAGGTGAATAGCTCATTAGCAATGACACAGGGCCCTGTTTTTAGTCTGGCAAGAATTCACCCCCGACTTGACTGCCCTGAAAACGAGCCAAGCAGACGCTGTGTGACCGACGGACGCACGGACAAATTATGCCGCTTGCAATGTACACAAAAAAGCACGGATATTAGTTTTATTTCATCACGTTTGCTGAGAGCAATCCCGGAGGCTCACGACGCCCAGGCGTGCCAGAAACGAACAGCAGACAAAGGGTCGATACGTTTATTGAACTGAGCAAAGGTGTAAGAACTTGGGGAAAGACAGGGATGGGGAGGGAATTGCAAGGTAATGAACCAGCGCTCTTGATTGGGGGGGGGGGGGGAGAAACCCATCACAAAAAGGTTGAGAGCCACTGCTCCGATACAATACTGCTAGTGGACAAGGCATCGGGGGTCACGCAGTTCAGAGGTCAAAGGTGGGCACCTGGTTGCCGCTCTCCTTCACGATGTCTTCGCGCGCTTGCTCGGCTCGCTCGCGGTTACGACACACGAGGTGCACGGCTCCGCCTGCTCCGCACACAAAGGCAAAGATCCCCGTATAGCCTCAGCAGACTTTTGAGGCAAGTGCTGTTAGCGAGTAGCACCGATGAAGGCCGGCACGGTACACGAGCGTGAGGGTGGCCATCACCCTCCCGAGTGGCGATGTTTTACAAACCGCGCCAGGTACTCGTTGAAGGCTGAGTCGACCGAGGGGAGACCCAGCACCGGTTACAATAATCATCACTGGTGTTGGCCGTGAGCGAGAATCGAACTCGGGCCGCCAGGTTCATAGTGCAGCACGCTAACCGCGACACTACCACTAGCAACTCGCACGCACTGGTGCAACAACAACATTGTGCATTAGTGATGTCTCAAGAGCACGGAGTCACATGGTAAGAGAGGCAGGGAGCAACTTACCCACCAACTCACAAATTCACTCACCCACCCACTCACTGACTGACTCGCCCATCGTATCACCCACTCATATTCACTCGCCTACCCATTCACGTTGTCACTCAATCATCCACTCACCCGCTCAAGCACACACTTCCCGTGACTCCCCCGTGATCTCCCCGTGCACCCCCCCCTCCTCGTGACCGGCCCCCCACCCTCCCCTCCGTGACCTCCCGCCGACCTCTCTTGGCCATGTGGAGGGCGGTCGCCTTGCCGATGCCGCTGTTGGCCCCCGTCACCATGAAGGAGCGGCCGCTCGCGTCCACCTCCAAATCCTGGGCCCGGAAGCTCTTGGCGGCCGCTTCGTAGCCGCCCCTGCCAGGGCGGGGTGGGAGGGGGGGGTCACAGACCGTGGTCAGCGTGGGCCCCAACGCGCCGACGTGTGGCAGCCTCCAGTTTGCTGATCCGCTGCTGGATGAGAGCGTGCCCAGGCCACACGTGTCGCGGGGGTCACGGGGGGCCATGATCGTAAACCCGTGACGCTGATCGGTACGGATCGGTGAAAGCGAAGGGGGCAGATCAGATGTGGGAGGGGGGGGGCATAGAGGTACAGCACAACTAAGCAAGAGAAAAAGTGGCATCTATATATATAAAAGCCTTAGTTTTTTCGGTAAAGTCACGTTGAAGAGAAACAACAAAATAATAAAATATATATATAACAATAAAAAAATTTCTCACGACGTTTCGACCATAACTCAAACGGTCATCTTCAGGTGTGTCGGTTTGCATAAATTTATTTTTAAACGGCGCATTTATTTATATATATATAAAAAAGACGTTAGTGTCACGCGCAGCGATTTGGCAGTTTACCCAGGACTAGTCCATCTATATTTTGAAAAGAGGAGGGGGGAGACGAAATTTTAAAATGTATGCTGTCTGAAAGCCAATGTAAGCGTGAACAATCAATTAAGAACTGAAATGGTTTATCAAATCTTTCCAATGATTGCTAAGATAGAATCCACCTTCTCGGTTGAAATTGTCTCTGTGCTTGTATATGTGGATAGCCTCATGAACGAATCTCTCATGGAAGCCAGATAGCTTACAAAGAACCTCTGTCTTGGAAAAGTCAATGGCATGTGAGCCTACTGAATTAGAACAATGATCTGCTACGGCCGAGGTGTTGGTCCTACCGTGTTTAAGGTCTGCTTTGTGTTCACGAATGCGGTCCGAGACATGGCGTTTGGTTTCTCCAATGTAACTACTACCACAGAGGCAACTTAGTTTGTAGACACCAGGGTATTGTATGTCCGGAATCACATCTTTTACAGACGGAACCAGATCATGGATTTTATGTAATGTGTTGAAACGGACCTGGATCTTGTGTTTATTCAAGATTTTGGAGATCTTTTTTGTGATCCCAGCAATGTAGGGTAAAGTGATGGTTTTGAAAGGCTCCTCAAGAGGGTTCTTCTTCATGGTTTGAGTGATAGCTTTGCGGATTGTATAGTCGGAGTAACCATTAGCCCTAAGAGCTTGGTGTACGTGCTTGAGTTCACTGCTTATGTGTTCCTGGTCGGATATGCATTGGGCTCTATGATACAGAGTCTTGATGAGAGAATTCTTCTGTGATGGATGGTGGTGGGAATCCGGTTTCAGATAAGCATCCGTATGGGTAGCTTTCCTGTAGACAGAGTGGCTCATTGAACCATCAGGTCTCTTTTTAATTAGGACATCCAAAAAGGTATCTTGCCATCTATTTCGACTTCCATGGTAAATCTGATGGCTGGGTGTATGGAATTGATGTGGTCGAAGAATTGGTCTAGAGCAGGCCGGCCATGTGGCCAGATGACAAAAGTGTCATCCACGTACCTCTTCCATAAGGTTGGGCGCAGAGTGGCAGTCTGGATGGCGTCAGTCTCAAATTTCTCCATGAAAATGTTAGCTATAACTGGAGAAAGGGGGGAGCCCATTGGGGTGCCCTCAGTTTGTTTGTAGAAAGTTCCATTCCAAGTGAAGTATGTATTGGTTAAACAGTGTCTCACCAGGGGGGGTACCTCAGTGTTTAGTCCTTGATGAACCAAGTCTTCAATGATTGCAATGGTGTCAGGTACAGGAACCTTGGTGAATAAGGAAACTACATCAAAACTGACAAGCAGGTCGTCTGGGGACAGGGAAATACCCTTGATTGTTGATACCAGGTGAGTAGAATTTTGTACCGCAGAGGTGGTCTTTCCAGTGAACGGACGCAGGATTTCAGACAAAAAACGAGCTAGTTTGTAGGTGGGGGAGCTGATAGTAGAGACTATGGGACGAAGAGGTGTATCAACTTTATGTATTTTTGGTAAGCCGTATAATCTTGGTGGCCTGGCAGCAGAAGGTTTCAACGAAAACTGTTTAGATTGATCAATTAATGCGGTTGAATCAGAAATTATTTTGTTGGTTTGTGTGACGAGGCTGTTGGTGGGATCTCTTTTTATTTTTGTATAACTACCAAACCGACACACCTGAAGATGACCGTTTGAGTTATGGTCGAAACGTCGTGAGAATTTTTTTTTATTGTTTTATATACATTTTATTATTTTGTTGTTTCTCTTCAACGTGACTTTACCGAAAAAACTAAGAATATGAATTACTGCAGTCACGAAAGCTTTAAATCAAAATTTAATCGCCTCTACGGGGAGGGTTTTTCACGTAACTTTAAGATCCTTCAACAAACTCCGGGATAAGAAAGCTCAGCTGATCGAGTCTCTCACCTTCCTGAAGAGATGCCGTGACTCTGGGGTAATACCAATCGCATTTACACTGACCTCTGCTGCTGTAACTTCTTCTAATGCGAAACGAATTATTTTCAAAACTAGCTTAGCTCTTATCTCAGAAAAAATCAGACTTATACGCACAGAACTAGATCAGTTAGACAAGACACTCTACAAATCACACTTATCATTGACGGCAATAATGTCCACATCGGATTGGGAACATGTAGACAATATGACTGCCTCTTCAGCTGCTACTATGTCGACCAAATGTAAGGAAAACCTGATTTCCAAATTTAACCTCCTCTTCAACAAAAGACCGGACCCACACACCAAAAAGTTAGACGTTAATAAAGTCGTAATTAATCGCAGTAACAGTTCTATTTCCGATGGTCTGAAATCCGTTTTAGCTAAAGGTCTAAACTTTGCAGTCACACCTAAACACATACCAGTTAATGATATAATTGCCCAAGTAGACGTTGCTCTCAGGGGCCTGGGTCACATCGCTGCAGACGTAGCAAGACCTGAAATCGCTGCAACCCTCAAAAACGCTAAGATGCCAGCTAGCAACCTCAGCAAAGATGAGCGTTTTGAATTATATAAATTAAAAAAGAGGAATGATATTGTAGTTCTCTCAGCTGACAAAGGCAATGCTACTGTCATCATGGATAAAATAGAATACAACAACAAAATTAAAGAATTACTCGACGATGGTAGTTATACAAAAATAAAAAGAGATCCCACCAACAGCCTCGTCACACAAACCAACAAAATAATTTCTGATTCAACCGCATTAATTGATCAATCTAAACAGTTTTCGTTGAAACCTTCTGCTGCCAGGCCACCAAGATTATACGGCTTACCAAAAATACATAAAGTTGATACACCTCTTTGTCCCATAGTCTCTACTATCAGCTCCCCCACCTACAAACTAGCTCGTTTTTTTGTCTGAAATCCTGCGTCCTTTCACTGGAAAGACCACCTCTGCGGTACAAAATTCTACTCACCTGGTATCAACAATCAAGGGTATTTCCCTGTCCCCAGACGACCTGCTTGTCAGTTTTGATGTAGTTTCCTTATTCACCAAGGTTCCTGTACCTGACACCATTGCAATCATTGAAGACTTGGTTCATCAAGGACTAAACACTGAGGTACCCCCCCTGGTGAGACACTGTTTAACCAATACATACTTCACTTGGAATGGAACTTTCTACAAACTGAGGGCACCCCAATGGGCTCCCCCCTTTCTCCAGTTATAGCTAACATTTTCATGGAGAAATTTGAGACTGACGCCATCCAGACTGCCACTCTGCGCCCAACCTTATGGAAGAGGTACGTGGATGACACTTTTGTCATCTGGCCACATGGCCGGCCTGCTCTAGACCAATTCTTCGACCACATCAATTCCATACACCCAGCCATCAGATTTACCATGGAAGTCGAAATAGATGGCAAGATACCTTTTTTGGATGTCCTAATTAAAAAGAGACCTGATGGTTCAATGAGCCACTCTGTCTACAGGAAAGCTACCCATACGGATGCTTATCTGAAACCGGATTCCCACCACCATCCATCACAGAAGAATTCTCTCATCAAGACTCTGTATCATAGAGCCCAATGCATATCCGACCAGGAACACATAAGCAGTGAACTCAAGCACGTACACCAAGCTCTTAGGGCTAATGGTTACTCCGACTATACAATCCGCAAAGCTATCACTCAAACCATGAAGAAGAACCCTCTTGAGGAGCCTTTCAAAACCATCACTTTACCCTACATTGCTGGGATCACAAAAAGATCTCCAAAATCTTGAATAAACACAAGATCCAGGTCCGTTTCAACACATTACATAAAATCCGTGATCTGGTTCCGTCTGTAAAAGATGTGATTCCGGACATACAATACCCTGGTGTCTACAAACTAAGTTGCCTCTGTGGTAGTAGTTACATTGGAGAAACCAAACGCCATGTCTCGGACCGCATTCGTGAACACAAAGCAGACCTTAAACACGGTAGGACCAACACCTCGGCCGTAGCAGATCATTGTTCTAATTCAGTAGGCTCACATGCCATTGACTTTTCCAAGACAGAGGTTCTTTGTAAGCCATCTGGCTTCCATGAGAGATTCGTTCATGAGGCTATCCACATATACAAGCACAGAGACAATTTCAACCGAGAAGGTGGATTCTATCTTAGCAATCATTGCAAAGATTTGATAAACCATTTCAGTTCTTAATTGATTGTTCACGCTTACATTGGCTTTCAGACAGCATACATTTTAAAAATTTCGTCTCCCCCCTCCTCTTTTCAAAATATAGATGGACTAGTCCTGGGTAAACTGCCAAATCGCTGCGCGTGACACTAACGTCTTTTTAATATATATATAAATAAATGCGCCGTTTAAAAATAAATTTATGCAAACCGACACACCTGAAGATGACCGTTTGAGTTATGGTCGAAGCGTCGTGAGAATTTTTTATTGTTTTATATATATTTTATTATTTTGTTGTTTCTCTTCAACGTGACTTTACCGAAAAAACTAAGAATATGAATTACTGCAGTCACGAAAGCTTTAAATCAAAATATATAAAAGCCATCGATCATTACATATGTTAGATCAGCAATTGGAAAGATACCTAATTCTCTTCCTTTGTTTCTGTGTCCCTTTCCGTACGGCTATCTCTGTGTGTCTCTGTGTCTCTGTGTTTGTCTCTCTCCATCTCTCTCTTTTCATGTATTTTGAATTGTCAGTCTCCTTCTGTGTCCTCAGCATCTCTGTCCGTGTCTCCTGATCACTGTGTGTCCCTCTCTGTGTATCTCCATGTGTCACCGTGCGTGGGCAGCGGTAGTGTCGTGGTTAGCGCTACGCTGCTCTACGAACCCGACGTCCCGAGTTCAATTCTCGCTCGCAGCCGTCACCAGTGGCGATTTTCTGAACCAGTCCTGGACCTCCCCCTAGGTCGACTGAGCCCCAAATGAGTACCTGCTGCGATGTGTAAACACGGCGAATGGGGAGACAAAAGCGGCCGGGCGAGGCGCTGGCCACCCCACTCCCTCGTGTGCCGTGCCCGGCCTTCATAAGTGCTACTTGCTCACAGCACTTGTCCCAAATGTCCGTTTCGGTTATATGGGGGATCCTTGTCTTGTATCCATCTCTGGCTCTGTCGAGTGGAGCGAGCGAGCGCCCATAGGCGGAGTTTGACTTCTATATTTGGGGGGGGGGGGGGGGGGCTGGTGCGGGTTCATGTAATTCATTTATTGTAAACTACTAAAAATAAATTAATAAAGGCGTCAAGTTTGACAGGGGCGTTGACCCCCCCGTGCACCCCCCCTCTCCCAAACCTCGTCCATGTGAGCACCGTTTGATTTTCATTCCTTTGTAAAATAATTATCTCTGCGCAAACGAGCAGGTATTGATGCTCATCTCTATTGGCGGTCCCTGAACCGGTGATACTAATTCCACATTTATATGACGAGGTTTCAGTCTATTCACGTCATCGGTTTTTACACTTTACCGCAAAGCGTTAACGATTTTATCCACTACGGAATCAATCATGACTTTTCGGGAATAAAACTCAAACATAAATTATGAAAAAAACGAATAACACTGCGGCCTTAAAATGAAAAGTATACAATAGGCAACGTTTCGGGGAATGGCCCATGAAGTAAAAAATTTAAACCTGTACATGACAAGAAAACACATCACGTAAAATTAAATATGACAATTTAACAAATGAAGACTCCGAATAACCCAAAAGAGTGACACTCACTTTGTGTACTCCTGCAGCCCTTTCATGAACCAGATGGAGTTCCGATAGAGAGACATGGCAAAGATGTGTGTTGTATCTGGCAGACAAAAAAAACAAGTGGCATCAGTTGGTAAACACAAACGGGCGGTGGTCGGTTACGTCAACTAACGTCAGCGACTATACTCGGGACAGACTACAACTGACAAGATAAACGAATGCCCATCGGCTGATAATGAGAAACGGAGTGGCCATAGCCCAGCATTGTCAAACGGAGTGGCCATAGACCAGCATTGACAAACCGAGTGGCCATAGACCAGCATTGTCTAACGGAGTGGCCATAAGCCAGCATTGTCAAACGGAGTGGCCAAAGGCCAGCATTGACAAACGGAGTGGCCATAGACCAGCATTGTCAAACCCAGTGGCCATAGACCAGCATTGTCAAACCCAGTGGCCATAGACCAGCATTGACAAACGGAGTGGCCATAGACCAGCATTGACAAACGGAGTGGCCATAGACCAGCATTGACAAACGGAGTGGCCATAGGCCAGCATTGACAAACCGAGTGGCCATAAGCCAGCATTGTCTAACGAAGTGGCCAAGGGCCAGCATTGTCAAACGGAGTGGCCATAGACCAGCATTGTCAAACAGAGTGGCCATAGACCAGCATTGACAAACGGAGTGGCCATAGGCCAGCATTGTCTAACGGAGTGGCCATAGGCCAGCATTGACAAACGGAGTGGCCATAGGCCAGCATTGACAAACGGAGTGGCCATAGGCCAGCATTGACAAATGGAGTGGCCATGGACCAGCACTGTCAAACGGAGTGGCCATGGACCAGCACTGTCAAACGGAACGGAGTGGCCATAGACCAGCATTGACAAACCGAGTGGCCATAGCCCAGCATTGTCAAACCCAGTGGCCATAGACCAGCATTGTCAAACGGAGTGGCCATAGGCCAGCATTGACAAACGGAGTGGCCATAGGCCAGCATTGTCTAACGGAGTGGCCATAGGCCAGCATTGTCAAACCCAGTGGCCATAGACCAGCATTGTCAAACGGAGTGGCCATAGGCCAGCATTGACAAACGGAGTGGCCATGACTTTAGCATAGTTTCTCTGAGTTTGCAATTTAAAGCAGTGCGAATTAAGAGCGAGAGGAACTTTTTTCGTAAATTCGATGCAACTGCCCACTGCTGTTAAACTCGAGTAAGTTGTCGGCTTCACGGAGGCGAGCGTTGTTAGCGAGCACTTCGTAACCTCGCTAAAAACGGCAATAAAGTGATTGTGATGTGAAACTAGTCTTCGGTGTGAAGCTGCGTGTATACGTGTTGTCGCGATTGATGCTGTGGAAATAATTCACCATCATTGACATCACTCCCATTGATTAGAACCGCCATCAACAACATCACCGCCACGAGCATAATCATTATTAGCCGTACCACCACCGCCATCAACAACAACCTCCGTTCGCCACGGCGCTTGTGCCAGGTTAGGTGCACCATCATCACCACCACACCACAAAGACCCCCCCCCCCCCCGTATAGCCTTAACAGACTGTTGGGGCAAGTGCTGTTAGCGAACACCTATGAAGGCCGGCACGGCACACGAGGGGGTGGGTGGCCAGCACCACGCCCAGCCGCCTTCGTTTCCCCAGTAGCGATGTTTACACGCAGCACCAGGTACTCATTTGAGGCTGAGTCGACCTAGGGGAGGCCCAGAACCGGTTAATATAATCGTCACCGGTGTCGGCCGCGAGCGGGAATCGAATCCGGGTGGCCAGGTTCGTAGCGCAGCATGGCGCTAACCGCTACACCACCGCTCCCCACACACCGACAGACACAGACAGCTCACTCACCACCCCCAGCACCGACACACGCGTGTTGTTGCTGTTATGACACAAGCCAGCCCCCACCCCAGACACGTGGCCGCAGCTGTCGCAGTGCAAAATGCCTGGGAGGCCGATTCGCGTCTCGGTCTCCCGACAGCCAAACTCGCTCAGCCGCCCCACCCCCAGCCCGTGCACACAACACGAGTCCCATTGAGCGGGTGTGACACACTCAGAGGGCACGTGTGTGAGACACACTCAGGGGCACGTGTGTGAGACACACTCAGGGGCACGTGTGGGACACGCTCAGGGGCACGTGTGGGACACGCTCAGGGGGCACGTGTGTGACACGCTCAGGGGCACGTGTGAGACACTCAGGGGCACGTGTGACACACTCAGGGGCATGCGTGGGACACGCTCAGGGGGCACGTGTGACACACTCAGGGGCACGTGTGGGACACGCTCAGGGGCACGTGTGGGACACGCTCAGGGGCACGTGTGGGACACGCTCAGGGGCACGTGTGGGACACGCTCAGGGGCACGTGTGGGACACGCTCAGGGGGCACGTGTGTGACACTCAGGGGCACGTGTGGGACACTCAGGGGCACGTGTGACACACTCAGGGTCACGTGCTGGACACTCAGGGGCACGTGTGGGACACTCAGGGGCACGTGTGACACACTCAGGGTCACGTGCTGGACACTCAGGGGCACGTGTGAGACACACTCAGAGGCACGTGTGGGAGACACACTCAGGGGCACGTGTGTGACACACTCAGGGGCACGTGTGTGACACACTCAGGGGCACGTGTGACACACTCAGAGGCACGTGTGGGAGAGACACTCAGGGGCACGTGTGTGACACACTCAGGGGCACGTGTGTGACACACTCAGAGGCACGTGTGACACACTCAGGGGCACGTGTGGGAGACACACTCAGGGGCACGTGTGACACACTCAGGGGCACGTGTGACACACTCAGGGGCACGTGTGACACACTCAGGGGCACGTGTGACACACTCAGGGGCACGTGTGACACTCTCAGGGGCACGTGTGACACTCTCAGGGGCACGTGTGACACTCAGGGGCACGTGTGGGACACTCAGGGACACGTGTGGGACACTCAGGGGCACGTGTGTGGGACACTCAGCGGCACGTGTGGGTCACACTCAGGGGCACGTGTGGGTCACACTCAGGGGGATGTGTGGGTCACACTCAGGGGCACGTGTGGGTCACACTCAGGGGCACGTGTGGGACACTCAGGGGCACGTGTGACACACTCAGGGGCACGCACGGGAGTAAATTGGTGGGTCACGAGGACTGGAGTTTGTGCAAACCCTGGCGTCACGGATATATTACACGAATATATCTCGCCACAAATGAACCACAATACCTCGTTGACACACTCAGGGAGCATAAACCATCACGCGAACTCCGGTCATCCCCACAGCGGCTTTTGGCTGGGCCATCGAACAAAGACGGTCACCGCATCATCGTGCACTTTCAGTTGCGCTTCTGCGGCCGTCTGGAACGCTCTTCCTTCCGACATTAGGACGCCACTAAAGCTATGCACTTCTAAGTCTAAATCGAAAACACATTTCATTTCGAACTGCGTTTGGTGCTTAGTTGGTTGTCCTTCCCGCCCGCGCACCTCCGATTAGCACGGTTGGCTACATACGGCGCGAAAGAAGTTCAACATACACTGTATTATATACACGGGCAGGAAATTGATCCGTCTATTCCCGTCACACCTGCCACTTTGTTTGAGGTACCCAACGGTGTTAAGCCGAGCTGTCGGCCTTTCGCCAGATTGTAATTATGAGACCGACTACCGGGAATGTTTGGAAATTGTGTTACAAGTGTGTGAGCAGCAGAACATCAAGAGGAGAGCGAAACGTCCACGTTAACGGGTTTTCAGTTGAGCGGCCAAATGTAACATTTGATGTTGTGAAACACAAACCCCGTCACATTGGGGAGCGATGTAAATCGTGGCATAATTACAAATGTTACGCCGAGGCTTAATGTCAGCGTGATGTTGTGGACACAAAAAGAATGGCTCTTTCAAACATAAAGCAAAGATTCCCCGTGTAGCCTTTAACACTGTCGAAGCAAGTGCTGTTAGCGAGCACCTATTAAAGCCGGCACAGCACGCCACGGGGTGGTTGGCCAACACCACGCCCGGCCGCCTTTGTCTGCCTAGTGGCAATGTTTACACACTGCACCAAATACTCATTTGAGGCTGAGTCGACCTAGGGGAGGCCCAGGACGGGTTCAGATAATCGCCACTATGGTGTTAGCCGTGAGCGCGAATCGAACTCGGGCCTCCGGATTCGCAGCGCAGTGCATTAACCGCTACACTACGGCTCCCCCACACACAAACACCACCACCACACCTACATCTGTCCGCCAGCAATGGGTGAAGACACGACCTGTGCTTTTCATGCTGTTTTTGTTTTGCTGGAAAACGAACCTCGGTCAGGCTACAATAAAATTTCCCGCAATAAACAAACCCGATTCCAGAAGCTAATGCGGACTTTGACCCTCAAGTCTTGGGATGGGCAGCAAACCGTACATTCCAAGTGTTATATAAACTGCGGGGATACGAAATGGGCTGCAGAGGGCAGCCTACGGATGTTCGTCCAACTTCTATTTGCTTCATTGATGTAATGTACATTATTTTTATTTTATTCGTTTTGTTTTTGTAATTTTGCTGCACCCAGGTCACTTTTGCAAATGAGACTATCCCAGTCTCTTGAGTAATTCCCAACAAAAACTGGACATGTGCATCTAAATCCATTATTTGTACATAACCCATACACCCGAGTTGGCATTCTCGACCATGACGAACATCAGTGGTAAGGTCCACCTGAACAAGACCTGGGTTCCCCACTCGCCAACTTAAACTGGCCGATGTAGCAAAGTTCCAATCCAATGTGCCACGGTGGGGCTTTCATTTGCCAGTGGATTGACAAAGGGCTGAACGTTAAACTGATTGAAATATTCGCAAAATAAAAATGCAATTCAATGAAGCTCAACTTGTGCTGAACTCTGGCTTTGTGCAAGGACACAAAAGTGGCCACCTCTTTATGGTAACGTCCCGTGATCTTGTTTCAAGTCAGCGAGTCAGGCGATGTGCATGGTGGTGAAATTGAGAGCGTATAATATCTAGAGGCTTTAATCGTAAACGAGTCGGACATTCTTTCTGAACACAATGGAAATAGATTAATCCAGTGGAAAGTTTTTCTCGTTGTAAACTTTGCCATTTGTAAAAAAAACACATTAATGGCAGTCACAAAAAATACACAAATAAAAAACTTATTACACAATTTGTACAACCTTTAAATTATAACAGCCACATTCAGTTATTGACCGAGAATAATATTACAATGTCATCATGCACAACCCGCAGAGCATTTATCTACAGAAGTGGATGAAAAACGAATTCTATCGCGATGTCAAACTTTACATCAACCTTAATGGGACCCAGAAACAAACCAAGAATCTCACAGGACTTCGACCATACCACTGTGGTGACACAGCAACGCACTTTTCCTGTTTAATGCACCACAAATTGTGTCAAATACTTAGTTACTGCAGTGTGGGACTTACATACCTGGCATCATTTGCGATTCACAACCTAGGTAACGATGTATCAATTAATCGATTCAAATGATACGAAGGGGTTCGCAATGCATGGATCCAATTGTACGTGTATGAATATATGATTGGTTCACAGGTCAGAGTGCAGAGTTGACACCAAGTTGGAATCTCGGCAGTCAATTAGCGCAGTTGACTACGTACAGTCGTTATTAAACCGGATTTTTCCAGTGTAGCGGGTTGAGAGAGTCTCAGCCCGGTCACCGATGACTGCACAAAAAAATCACGTGACATTTGATTCTGCACTTTATTTGGCAAAAATTTCATTTGTAAGAAAATAAATAAATCAGTTTGACTCGTCATGCGATACAGACTTTACATTCTGTGTGTCAAAGGTGGATGGAGAAAGTGTTGCCCCCTGATGTGTGGGCCAGAGATCACGAGAGGAGATCTGAGAACGAGATCCAGCTCCCCTAACAAGGGTGTCACTGCTTCGAGGGATTCACACGGATGCCGTCATCTAGTGGCGCGACACCCTTAGCACAATGGGGATAATAAAACTGTGGAAGACTGTACCGTAAGTTTACGTTACATTGGGTTCCTGGCACGAATGGGAAACGAGAGAATATGATGAACGAAACAGAATGAGAATGAATTTTGACTTAAAATGTGAGAGGATGGTTATAACATTGGAAAGATGTCATCAACCACTTTGGGTCATGACTTGACTTGTGTTTTATTGTTAATCAACCTCCACCGTCAGCAGTGCGGCGTGTAGAGTGGGGTGCAGTGATTTCCTGGCGGGCCTTTGCTGAATTGGCATTGCTGCTGCATTGGCATTGCTGCCCTGCCCATGCTGCTGGTGCTGCTGAGACACTTGGGCTACGCCCATCTCCAAACCTTTATAAACAGTTTGCCTTTAGAGGCTAACCCCTTTTCCTGATGACGACCGCTTGTGGTGCGATCGAAACATCGTGGTATTTTTACTCACTTTATTTTTGTAATTTTTTTTTCTATCCACGTGACTTTACCGAAAGAACCAAGGAATAACAATGCCATCAAGGGCCAAAACGAATTAAGGACCGCTTCTTGATTTGAATCGTGCGGAGGAAGGTGGGGTGGTGGACTCCTTACACACCGAGTCACCAAGCACTGCCCGCGAAGTGGCCGATCAACAACGATGGGACATCAACTCTCAAGGATCCACTGCACGGTGTCATCCACTTCCCGGCTCACATCCTCTTCCTGCCGCGCCTTCTCCACGACCTGCGATCTCTCGCATCCCGTGGCGTCTTCCGGCGACGTCCTGTTCACTCCCACATCGGCCGCTCCGTCGTCCCCCGAGACGCCATCCCTGCGCGAACAACAGCCGGCACAAGAGATCGTGTGGGCAAGTTTGGAGGGAGGGAGGGAGGTGGGGTGTGGGGGTGAACCGTCACAGCCACGGTCCATCCAAAGCTGGGCGAAGGCCTTTCAAATTCAGACTCAGGATGCAACAGTGTCTCGGTGCACAAGCCGATTACATCGTTTCAGAATCAGAATATTTATACAGGAGGAATCTGATGAGCTATGAAGCTTTAAGTCAAAATATCAGAGATGTTTCGTCTCCGGGGTGGACACTCACCCGGGAGTGTCCCTCATTTGGCTGCCATTCTGTTGTTAGTCTCTAACATTGCCTTCATCTCTTCGAACAGTGTGATGTCTTTGTCTTGCTTATGTTGTTGCGTTTGCTGTCTCTCCATGTAATGCCACCATCTTAAACATAGGCTAATAATTATGCAAATACTGTAGTAACTAACCATTTAAAGCGATTCTTTCACTCAAAAGTGAAACAAGTGACATTAATTAAATCCACATGCCATCCTCTCTCCACTGCAAAGTGAATCAGTCCCCATTGCCTTCACATTAACCTCCCCCATATTCTCCCACTCACCTGCAGTTCAGGCGCAGTGGTGCCTCCTCCTCCTCCTCCACCGCATGTTCCTCATCACCGTTGTTACCGCTACCGTTTCCACCGCAACCGTTGGTGGTGGGTGCGCTACCGCCCGGAAGCAGCCCGTCATCCGAGACGGTCTCTGGCGGGTCGACCTTGGCCGGCTCCTGCGGCGTCTCCGTGCCGATCGACGTCTCTTCAACTCCGCTCGGCACCTCGCTCCTGCGCTTGTGCCGACTTTCTTCCCGCCGCTCTTCCTCCTCGCCCTCCTCCTTTGTCCTTTTCTTCTTCGCTTTCTTCTTCTTCGTCTTCGTCGTTTGGTCGTCCTTCCGGGACTCCCTGCTCCCCGAGCGTCGCCTGTCCCTCTTCTCACCGTGGTGCCGTGAGGAGCCGTCCCGGCGCGTCCCCGGCGACCTCCTCTTGCTGCCACTACTGGGTGACCTCTCTGACCTCTCCGACCTCTCCATCCTCTCCGACCTCTCCGTCCTCTCCGACCTCTCCGACCTCTCCGACCTCTCCGTCCTCTCCGACCTCTCCGACCTCTCCGTCCTCTCCGACCTCTCCGATCGCCCCCAGCTCCTCGACCTCGCGCGTCGCTCCGCGGGCGACCGCTCGCTCCTGCGCTCGCTCCAGCGCGATCTCCCGTCGTCCCTCCTCGTCGTCCGCTCCGCGCTGGGCAACGTCCGGCCGCCCCTCCGCAGCGAGGAGGACGACGACGAAGCGGCGGCGGCGGAGGAGCCCCTCTCCGCGCTGCGGGAGCGGTGGCGTCGTTGCCGGTCGTGCCGATCGGAAGGCGGGGTGCGGTCGCGGCGGCTGCTGGTGCCTCCTCTGTGGGATTCGGGAGATCGTGGCTCAATGTCGCGGTCCGCCTCCCAGAACTCGTTGCCTGGATTCTGGAACACGTGCAGGAAGTTGCAGCTCTTCCCCTTGGGGCAGCGGCGGCGGTCGTAGAGCCCTGAGGAATAAACGAGATTTGCCGCGTTTACCGGTTCACTTTTGTTTGCACTGATCACTGTCATTCCACAACCAGGCGTGTTCGTCAGACATCATATTGCCTCTCGTGGTGTTCTGCGCAGGCGCACTTTTCTTCACAGTCAGTACGACGTGAATGCCCCCTGTGCTTGTCTCAGTACAATATCCAGCATGCATCTCAATTCTCCTTTGCAAATATTTTGTTCCAATTTTTTTGTCAAAGGGGGCCACGTGTCTGGTCCATGTGTCATGGCATCCTCGCCAACCTTTAAAATTCAAGTCTCCCTTGAAAAATACTGATCTCGAACAGCTCTTAACCTGTTCTGCGGTTCACCAGTCCGACTATTACATAAGTGAAGGTGCCTGGTGCCTTAAAGTCGTGCGTTCTCCTACCACAGATGGCCGATTTCCAGCGTGAGACGGGGCAGAACTCGCAGTTGATTTGGCGGCCTGCATACCAGCGACCGTTGAACATCTGGAAGGCCTGCATGGCCTCCTCCTCCCTGCCATGGGAAGCGCAAATGTAGAGAATTAAGCTCTCTCTAGGGATGGCACAGAGCCACAACGGAGCGATCCATTGCTGAGTGAAGACCGCCCCAAGCCGTCGTAATCCATGACACTGTGATTAAACAATCTCGCTCACGCACACAAAAGCCATTTTCATATCTTCATCGTTATGGTTGACGACATCTCATGCACTGTAACCCTCGTAAAAAAATTATTCAATATGCCAACAGAGAATAAACTTGCGTTACTATTATGGATTAACTCGAGTGAAAACTGGCCAAATTCATCAAAATATTTCCAAAAATCTGGAGACAACCAGAGCAAGTTTCAGACTCTTTGCAGATATATGAACGTTTCATGTATATACAGTGAGGGAAAAAAGTATTTGATCCCCTGCTGATTTTGTACGTTTGCCCACTGACAAAGAAATGATCAGTCTATAATTTTAATGGTAGGTTTATTTGAACAGTGAGAGACAGAATAACAACAAAAAAATCCAGAAAAACGCATGTCAAAAATTTTATAAATTGATTTGCATTTTAATGAGGGAAATAGGCATTTGACCCCCTCTCAATCAGAAAGATTTCTGGCTCCCAGGTGTCTCTTATACAGGTAACGAGCAGAGATTAGGAGAACACTCTTGAAGGGAGTGCTCCTAATCTCAGCTTGTTACCTGTATAAAAGACACCAGTCCACAGAAACAATCAATCAGATTCAAACTCTCCATCATGGCCAAGACCAAAGAGCTCTCCAAGGATGTCAGGGACAAGATTGTAGAACTACACAAGGCTGGAATGGGCTATAAGACCATTGCCAAGCAGCTTGGTGAGAAGGTGACAACAGTTGGTGCGATTATTCGCAAATGGAAGAAACACAAAAGAACTGTCAATCTCCCTCGGCCTGGGGCTCCATGCAAGATCTCACCTCGTGGAGTTGCAATGATCATGAGAACGGTGAGGAATCAGCCCAGAACTACACGGGAGGATCTTGTCAATGATCTCAAGGCAGCTGGGACCATAGTCACCAAGAAAACAATTGGTAACACACTACGCCGTGAAGGACTGAAATCCTGCAGCGCCCGCAAGGTCCCCCTGCTCAAGAAAGCACATATACATGCCCGGCTGAAGTTTGCCAATCAACATCTGAATGATTCAGAGGACAACTGGGTGAAAGTGTTGTGGTCAGATGAGACCAAAATGGAGCTCTTTGGCATCAACTCAACTCGCCGTGTTTGGAGGAGGAATGCTGCCTATGACCCCAAGAACACCATCCCCACTGTCAAACATGGAGGTGGAAACATTATGCTTTGGGGGTGTTTTTCTGCTAAGGGGACAGGACAACTTCACCGCATCAAACGGACGATGGACGGGGCCATGTACCGTCAAATCTTGGGTGAGAACCTCCTTCCCTCAGCCAGGGCATTGAAAATGGGTCGTGGATGGGTATTCCAGCATGACAATGACCCAAAACACACGGCCAAGGCAACAAAGGAGTGGCTCAAGAAGAAGCACATTAAGGTCCTGGAGTGGCCTAGCTAGTCTCCAGACCTTAATCCCATAGAAAATCTGTGGAGGGAGTTGAAGGTTCGAGTTGCCAAACGTCAGCCTCGAAACCTTAATGACTTGGAGAAGATCTGCAAAGAGGAGTGGCACACAATCCCTCTTGAGATGTGTGCAAACCTGGTGGCCAACTACAAGAAACGTCTGACCTCTGTGATTGCCAACAAGGGTTTTACCACTAAGTACTAAGTCATGTTTTGCAGAGGGGTCAAATACTTATTTCCCTCATTAAAATGCAAATAAATTTATAACATTTTTGACATGCGTTTTTCTGGATTGTTGTTGTTATTCTGTCTCTCACTGTTCAAATAAACCTACAAATTAAAATTATAGACTGATCATTTCTTTGTCAATGGGCAAACGTACAAAATCAGCAGGGGATCAAATACTTTTTTCCCTCACTGTACGTTGAACTTCTTTCGCACCGTACGTAGCCAGCCGTGTTAATCAGAGGTGCGGAGGAAGGACAACAAACAAAACAGGATCTCTGATAAGGCAACTTGATTTGCGTTGCTCCCTGCTTTACGAGGACTCTCTCCGGCGGGAAGCCGGGTGACGACCAGTGGTGGAGCACTCACGTCTCGTACTGAACGTAGACGTTCCCTCGGAGGTGCGGCTCGAAGTTGCAGCTGACCTGCACACGGCAGAAGAAGCGCAAACCCGGTCGAACAGTTGCGTCGAGGAAACGGTCACTCGGCTCACCGATGGTCGGGTAGCCCAGAGGTCAGAGCATTGAGCTAGCACCGCTAACAGTCTGGGGTTTCAATCCAGGCAGCTGCGAGCGATTAAACTGGGTTCTCATGAGTGTACGGTCTCAGCATGGTCACCAATTACACATGTTGGCAACATTTCAACTCGAAAGAATAAAAAATAGTAAAATATCAGTTCCATTGCCAAGGCTTAGTTGCTCTCAAGAGAGACCCAAGGACCTGTGCAGATAATCGCCACGGAATTTAACGCGTATAACCAGGTTAGTAGCGCAGTGCGCTGACGACTGCACTACCGTTCCCCACATTGTATAATGAATCCGACAACTAGAGTTTAATTCTTGGCCACGGCTAACATCAGTGGTGAATATCAGAATCATTGCTGGGCCTCTCCGAGGTCACCTCAGCCTTAAATAAGTGCCTGTCGTGGAAGCTTTAGCACTGGGGCTACAAGGGCAGCCAGGCATGATGCTGGACACAACACCCCTTTGTGCGTTGTGCTGATCTTCACAGCTGCTCGTTCATAGCACTTGCCCCTTCAGCCTGTCAAAGGCTATCGGGGGAATCTTTGTCTATGGCATGACATGCACAAAGATCCCCCCCATATAGCCTGTAACAGACTGTTGGGGCAAGTGCTGTTAGCGAGCACCTATGAGGGCCGGCACGGCACACGAGTGGGAGGTTGGCAAGCACCACGCCCGGCCGTCTTTGTCTCCCATGTGGAAATGGTTACACACCGCACCAGGTACTCATTTGAGGGTGAGTCGACCTAGGGGAGGCCAAGGACCGGTTCAGATAACCGTCAAAGGTGTTGGTGGCCGTGAGCCGGAATCGAACTCGGGTCGCTGGATTTGTAGTGCAGCGCGCTAACCACTACACTACTGCTCCCGTCTCACCGTACACCAACACCAAAAGTCATTCTCCACTAAGTGGCGGTGACGTCACCACAGCGCTTGTGCCATGCTAGGTGCACTCTGACGCCACGTGAAGTGTCGAAGGCCCGCTGGCAGGAGGTCACGGAACAGACCCAGGTGCCATGGGTTGACTAAGACACCAAAGATAAAGATCCCCCGTATAACCTTAACAAGACTGTTGGGGGCAAGTGCCGTAAGCGAGCACCTCTGAAGGCCGGCAACGGCGCACGAGGGGGTGGGGTGGCTATCACCGACCGTGCACACCACAAGCGCACACGCAAGCGCACACACAAGTGCGCGCAACCGCGAGCCCGCGGGACGGAACTTCAAACCCGCCGGCGCCGCCCGCTCGCACCTTGAACTGGCGCACGCGGCCCGGGCGGCGTAGCTCGGGCAGCGCGTCGCGGTAGAAGTCACGGAACTGGCGGCGGAGGTCGTCGTCGCCAAGCTCCAGGCCGGCGTCCGAGTCGTAGTCGTCGCAGCGAGCCTGATCCAGGCCGAAAGGCGCGAACATCGAGCGGAGCAGCAGCGTCGCGCTGCGCGACGGGCGCACGTGCAGGCGCGAGCACCTGCGGGTGGTGGCGGGCGGGCGGGTTAACGGGAGGAACTCGGTTACGAACATCAATACAGGCAACTGCCGCGCTGTAACGGTTAGCACACTGGACTCGCGATCCAGAGGTTACCGGCGTGATACGATCCATCGCCGGGGCGCAGCTGTTGAAACAATTAGAATAATTTCTAAGGCGCATTTCATCCAAGGATCCCAAGGCGCCATGGATGGAAAGCAGGAAATAAGACAGCCAGCGTAAACGACTAAAACTATGGGGGAAAAGTCTTTTTAAAGAGGTGAGTTTTTAGGGCAGATTAAAATAGCACTAAAGATTCTGATTGTCTTATTATCAGAGGCAACGCGTTTCATAGTCTTGGGGCTGCACTGACAAAAGTACGATCAACCCAGGAATGGAGCCTTGACCTCAGAATACTAAGAAGAAGGAGATCAGAAGAGCTCAAGGACGTCTTTGGTGGTGTATATAAGTGGATCCGTTCCTGTAAGTAATTGTTTCTTAAATTGCCAGAGTAAAATTCTTGGCCGTGGCTAACATCATTGGTGAATATCAGAATCATTGCTGGGCCTCTCCACCCCTCCCACCCCCCGACTTGTCCACCCAGCAGTGTATATCCGAACAGCTCAGACAGTTGATCAGCAGGTCATGTGTGGTGGGGTAAAGTGTGGGTACACCCACATTTTGTTCGAAGCCAGCGTGGAAGAGCAGGCCAAATATCCTCTGGAGGGGCTCTCTACAGCTCCCCTTTAATGGAAGCTCTTTTGCCTGCAGTCGTGTGAGCAAGCAATTGCAGGGCTGCGCCTTTACCCTTTTCTGCTATCAATGCCTATGACCAAGTCGCCTGCAATGCTGTCTCACGTCAACTGTCAGGCGCTAAGCATCCAGCGCTGCGCTGTGGATGGGCGACCACCCTGCACAAAACTCGAACTGTAGGCTGCTGTGGGGGCTGCATTGGTAGCGGCGAGCAGTGCCCTTAACTCAGGAAAAGCTTCAACGGGCTCAGGATTCGTTGATGGGGGGGGTCCTGCATTGAGGTAGGAATCAAGAAGAAGGTGGATAAAGTGTCACACAACTGGGGCTCTCGATTTTGATTTACGACTTGATGTTTTTTTGCCCTCGTTGTGTACGTGGCATGCGGCTACAGGATATGCATTCATCCAAAACAATAGATCATTGCCACAAGTGATTCTCACAACCAAATTTAGGAATTAAGATACGAGAGGCTTACAACTGTGCCCCAAAATGACTCGACTGCAATTACATAAAACGACCATCACCCCCACCCCCCTTACTGCGAAAACTGGAGAGGGCCCCTCCAGAAGATGAGTGATGAGACTTAGGGAGACTTTCCTGCGCAAACAAGCGCAACACAATGAATCCACATCGCGTTGCGTTATTGCCCGAAGCGTGGGGCGGGCGTGGGAGACCTGTCTCCGAAGCGGCAGGCACCGGTCTTGAGGAAGAAGGGGCAGTGTGCGCGGTCCCTCTCCGTGCCATAGTCCCTGGGAGCGTCCGGGTTGCGCCAGTCCTCGCCCGTGCTCCGCCCCTTCGCCTGCACGTCATCAACGTTAACATCGTCAACAACGTCAACGCCAAGTGTGGTGGCGGGCACCAAGACGACACAAAGCAGCATTCACCCCCCCGGCGCCAACCCCCTACGTCCCCTTCCTTTCTCGAAGCTCCCACACAAGCCCCCAAAGCGAGTCCCCTTCCAAGAGGTTCCTCCAGGCAAAGCCGCTGAGTGAGCTCCCTTCCTCATATTAGTTTCATGCAGTAACCTGCAAGTTTCTCCACTAAAGCAGAGACCTGGGTAACAAAACCGAATTTGCATTAATATAGGATCTAAAGTCAACCGCATCTCAAGATGAACACCCCACATAATTGGCGGGGTCCATAATTGGGGGTGTCCGTCGAGGAAGACAGACCACAGATAATTTGGGGGGAAAATTCCAGCAAAGGAAGAGCGCAAGTGGAATGTCATTGGACTGAAAACCCACCTGTCTATCCGAGTCCTCCAGCAGTTTGTGTATGGCCTCCTGCGGGGCGAGGAGGTAGTAAACGCAAGTACGCACGCGCACACACGTGCACACACATGTGCGCGCTCACGCACACACGTGCACACACGTGTGCGTGCTCACGCACACACGCACGCAGTGCAGGGGGTGTGCGGTGCGAGGTGAAGCGTGGCGGCGCGCGTCTTGCGGGCGGGCGATGGGGCGACGCCGCTCCGTCTGCCGGGAACACAGCGTTGTCTGCAGGCTGAGGTTAAGTGCAGGGCAGTGATGTCACGCGGCCTCGACACTTTTACTTAAGAGGGACTATCACCACCACCACCACCACCTTCCAGCTCGTTAAAGACAACTCAACCGACTACACGCTTCAACGCCCAACTCAAAAACACACACATTCCCCTTGTCCGGAAGTCACGCACAAAAGCTGTGGTGCAGGATGTGTGCGCATGCGTTTGAATCTTCCTTTATATAGAATGTTATAGCACGCTAGTGCTTTTACTGCCGTTTTAAAACGGCGTCAATGGAGCGGCGTAACTATAACGGTAACATTAAAGCCTTTAATTCTCATTAACACAGTTTCCAATTGATATCACACAGGAACGAAAGACACACAGCCTCGGTCCATATCTGCAGAATAAGAGGGGTTTGTATTTTTCGGGTTATGTCTTAATTAAAACCTCCAACCCTTTAAATGCCAAACCCTCTGCAACAGATAACATACTCTTGCTCAAAACACACAAAACAAATCTATCGAAGGCAACTGCGTTTGGAAACAAATCGTGCCGCGTGCTTAAAAGATACTCGTTGGAAAAGCAGTCCCGCTTGTGGGGGTGTGCAGCCATAGCCTTCACGTAGCCTGGGGTTAAGGAATATGACTTTGCAAGCTGCAATGATGACGTGTCGCGTCCCCATCACGGTCGCACGGCCCAGCGGCAGCGCGTTCGCGGCATGTCGCAGAGGTTCTGCCGTTGGACGGCGAAAAGCCGCCCTGGGTGCATTAACCGCGGCGTAACTACGCGCCGCCGGCTTCCGAGCGAACATTCACGATGCCCCGGCGTCATTTGAAATGAGTAGGACACTGTGTGCCGGCGTTACGGTTCCAAATTTGAAGAACAAAAAAAAAATACCCGCAAATTACTCAATTGGATTGCACGTGCAAAATCATTGCCCCTGGCTGGATGACTGATGCCCATTTGCAGGCGAGGTGCCGAGTCACCTTGGGCAGCACAGGGGCAACTGCCACTGGTGGTGCCCTGCGAACGTCTGAGATCAAATGTGATGCTGCAATCGGAAGTGATGGGCAGTAGATGGCAGAGGAGCAATAGATATTCGCTGTACTTCTATGCTCACCACCTTCACCAACCCTCACTGACCAGCGGGATGAAGTGCGGTCAAACAACCCCCCAACGACCCGCACGGCATGGGGAGGACCACAAGTAATAGCGAGTCGACAAAAGAGCTGTACATGAACACCAGTTTCCTCCCACACACCAAACACAAATTATTTGAAAAGGCATTGGTTAAAATATCACACGGGAGCCCCAGATAAAGCCATATGTAGTTGTACACACAACACTCCTGGCTCTGGTTATTCACACCTTTGGCAACCTATGAAACACGATTTTGCCTGTTTGGCAAATAAACGATGAACCGATGCTTGCTTTTTCTGTAGAGAGGATATCAAAGTTTTGTTTGTTATCCTCCCCATAAGCGCGTCACCTCTCTCGTCCTGCGCTCCGCCTCTTTCTTCTCCTTCTCCTCCTTTTCCTTCGCCTGCTGATTCTCCCACTCCTCTTTAATCTTCCGCTGTTCAGAAATCACGCGCAAGCACAAACGTACAGTTACCACCCTCTCGATTTGCCGTGGCTGGACTATCCAGGTTGGTGGATTAACCGTGTTTGTGAACAAAAAAAAGTGTCATGGCATGTCTTTAAGTGCGCGCCGGTTTAAATGTTAGCCGCTGTGCCCATGTGACCGCAAAATGTCGGTAACCGGATTACTTTAAGACGCAATAATAAGAGACGACGTGTTCTTCCTCCTAACAAATAAACTCCACGCATTGTCAACAACAAACCTCTCTGGCCTTTATGCGCTGTGGAAAAAGGCCATTGCCTGAAACGTTGCCTAGTACAGTATATGCTTGTTCTTTTTAAGGCCACAGCGTTGATTTATTAAGGTGATGAGTTGTATTGTTCTTCTTGCTTGTGGAACCACGGCCAATGCAACGTCACCAAATCTTGCATTCTACTCTTACGTAGGTATACTATACATGGGTTTTAGAGCCTCAAGTACACGCTTTGCATTATCCACGTTATTTTTATTTGGGCCACTCCTCCCCCTACGACCCTAGATAAGTGAGAGTGAACTATTAACACTCACACTCCCCTCTTCCCATCCTCGCCCCCATATGATGTACTGTCACAATTCGGTATCACGATTCCAATTCAATACGGATTCAATTATTTGTCTTTCTCGGTTATTTTCTGCCTCGATTGCTGCCACCGTTCCAGTCAAGAGAGGAATAAAATGATGACAACGATGATAGCGCTCGCCCAAACCTCCTCCTCTTCGCGACGTCGCCGCTCCTCCTCTGCACGCGCCTGCTGCTGCTGGAACTCTTCCTGAGCTTGCCTCTCACGTTTCTGCCACTCCAAGTGCGCACGCATTCTATGGTGTACACAGTTGACAGGTTAACAAACAAACAAACAACAACAAAAATCACGATTAAAATGCATTGCAGGCTGCAACGAATGAATCAAAAGCCAGGAAATAAAACAAATGTGTGGGAACAATAAAATAAAGCTAGAAAACAAAAAGCTAAAAACTGCATCCGAGCGTAAACGAACCACAGGGCTGTTTAATACGTAGGCTTAACGAACCACAGGGTTTAACAAACCACAGGGCTATTTCAGGGTGTACATTTAAACAATGCCGATGAGCAAATCACTCAGAATGTGCCCGATCTTGTCGGACGTCGGTAACAAAACAGGCGTTTCAGCCTGGATAGTGTCTAGATCGGTGACCACAATGCATCCAACAGGTGTTATAGGCTAAGGTGCTACGATGTGGGTTGCAGAGAGCAGTGCGGAAAATTCCAAACTGTACTGCGATGCTCCCACTTCTGTGCTCACCAACCCACATTGACCAGTGAGGTGAAGTAACCCTCACAACTCCCCCGGTGTGGGGGAAGCCCTCATCTGGCAGTGGATCGACTAAGGGCTTTACAAGTACCTGCTTATACGATGTGCTGTCATTGTCAGAAATACACACGATATTACTTACCCTTCAGCCTCTATTCGCCGCTCCTCCCGCTCCTCCCTCGCCTTTTGCACTTCGTCCAACTCCTCTTCCTCCTCTTCCTCCCCTGTTCAGATAGGGGACGTCAGGGTGGCACAGCCTCGCAGAAAGAAGGACCTGGGTTCGATTCCTGACATGGGCACCTAAGTGCAGCTTATGTTTTATTATCAGAGCATGTTTGTTTGCATGTTCACCACAAGTAAGTGTGGTTAATGCACACATGATTCTTTGCAAAAGGTTTCGATGTGGTGCTTGAACATCTTAACACCTGTTTTATTGCCAGAAAGGGTAAAACCTATTCTTATATTTTCATAGCTTTTATGTTCTCTTATTTTAAATGGGTTTCCTCCCATAGCTAAACACATCCAAACATTGGTAAAACTTCCCATGTAATATTTGAACTAAAGGGTGGCTTTCCTGGGTAAATTAATAATGATAATTTATATTATATATAGGACCTTGATGCCTTGCAATAGATGTCTATTTGGTGTTTGAACATCTTAACGCCTGTGTTATTGCCGGAAAGGGTAAATCCTATTCTTTTTTTCCCTTCATAATTCATTGTTAGAAACTGAGGGATGCAAATACTTACACCCATGCACAATGTACATCTGCTATGGGCCCTCACAACCCACTGCGACTTGTGCCTCGTGCTGTGGGAATCATCTATAGTTGAGTTGACACTGATGGACAGGGCCGGGTAAATGTGGTAAAGTGCTTCGGATTATTGAGAACAAGGGGAAATTGATTCATGTGTCATCTTAGCGGCTAAGCTATCGGCCAACAATGTGAGCCAAATACTTTTTGACCACCCTGAATAACCCGCCTTTTTAGAGTTAGGCTGGGTACATGTGCGTTTCCGTAAAAAGTATAAATGCCACCACTATCCCCATCCATTATTTTGTTATTTTGTACCGTACGGTAAGCATTGGCAAGCGCCTTGGTTAAAAGGCGCTTTATAAATCATAAATAGAATAAACTATGAACTTTAATAAAGACACCAAAGTACAAAAATGTGACTTTATGATCAAAAAATCTAATTACCATTACAGGTTATGACTATTACATCAGTAGCTCTCGGTGATAAGCACTATCAAATGTGTGGGTTTTCACCAGATACTTCAGTTTCCTACCACATAATTAACATCCTTGAAAATGTAATTGGCCAAACATCCCGAGGCCAGACATTCCTGAATAGATTATTGAGACTTAATGAGGCTTTTCTATAATATATAAATGCAAAATATTACTACTATAACCAAGGAGACACTTTGACATTACTGGCGAGCCTTCGTTCATATGGTACTTGTAAAAAAACTAATTCTACTCAAGTGTATGGCGATAAGTTCAGGAGCTAAATGTCATTGTCAAGGTCTGCTGGCCCCAGATGACTTCATGAGTTGGTGTAATGTTGCCATTCTTCTGTTGAAGGAGCACAGTCTACACAATATGGTCCATAGTTTGGGTTGCATGGTCACAATCGCACTCAAGAAATGTGGCTTGTTTTTACATCTCCATTCATGAAGATGTGGTGCCGTATCAGCCTTTTGTTATAATGTGGTTAATGGTACACCAGTGTCTTTGAGGAATGTCAAAGCCAGGACATACGATCTTTGGGTCTGTCTCGAATTAGGTCTTTATTATTTCAGTAAGTGATTAAACATGATAATCCATTTGATGGCATCAGGAGTTGCTGGCAAGTGAGACACCAAACGTCAGCCCCACCGCAATCAGAATCATAATATTTATTAAAACTGGAGGAATCCGATGAGCGATAAAGCATTTTTTTTTACAGATGTCCAGTTGGGGCGAGTAAGAACGTTACAACAAACAATACAAAAACACGATCGTAGTCCAAAGTACAAGAAAGGTAAACATTTCACCCATAACACATACAAATACAAGACCAAACCATCACCATTCTACCAGACAGCGCACGGTGGTATTAACTTATTTTTTAAAAGTGACCTGGCCACCCCACACGACAGCTCACCCTCATTGCGCTGCCTGGCAAGGTCCTGCCGCTTCCTCCGCCGCTTTTCCTTCTTCAGCAAGGCCCGGTAGCTTTTGTGACTGAAAATACAAAAAAAAAACCCTCTAATTGTCTTGCGGAGAATTACACACCTCCGTTCTGTCTCTACATATAAAATACGTTTTTGTCCATTGGCTTATATTTACCAAGTCTTGAAAGCCACTGGGCCGTGGCAGCAGCGACAGACGAGTGAAAGGACCTCTGGTGAGCGAGTGCCTGGGGTGAATCGGTGAGTACCGCACCATCACCAATCGGCCCAAATGCTTCAAGTTGACCTCACATCAAGTGCAGCGAGGTAGGAACAGGTTGTCCATCCGAGGAGACAGGATTCCAACTTATTAAATATAAGAATCAGAATATGTATGTATACTGGAGAATCCGATGTGTCCCGAGGACAACCCTCCGTTCAATGAGTGATCTGGGGGGCTTTTCCAGCGCTGGCCCTAAGCTGTGAAATTCACTTCCATCAAATATTTGATCTGCTCAGTAACTCGGTTTATTTAAAAAAAATGTTTCGTAAAATTGTTTTTACTTAAAGGCCTTTTCTCCTGTTTCATTTGGTAATGTGTTTTGGGAGGTGGGGGGTATTTCTACCTGTGGTTAAATCATGAGCCTGCGTGGCTTAAATAAGGTTTTAGAATTGCGCGAGTTATTTACTTACTTTCAGCTCTGTGCAGCGCCTTGCAATCTCTGGGTGAAACGCACTTTATAAGTGTACATTATTATTAATAATTATTATTAAAGCTCTTTTTCACAGATGTCCATCCAGAAGGGCCGGGTCAGAACATAACAACAATACAAAGACTATCGCAAAGGTAAACAAATCACTTTAAATATATAAATAAATAAAACTTAACTATGTTTATCTAACAAGGTTAAGGCCCACTGAAACTGTGAACGGTGGCTTCGGTCAATCCTGAGGATGTTACGTGTGGATACATAATTCAGGCGACCAAACCCACATCGTTTTTACAAGAGGTGCCCCATGCTGGGTTAACCTGGGCCTGATAACGTTGAACACTCTCAGAAAGGCGCACATGCAGTACACGTCGCAGAACAGCGGAGGGGAGTCCTGTACACCCGATATGTAACTACGGAACTATAAAGCATTCACGCGATCATAACCAACAACCGCCGATGCATCCCAATTCAGCGACATACTGCACCCATGTCACCCCCAAGGTCCCGGCGATGTGGGCATGATGCAGATCTTGTAAAGCATTCCCACAGATTGAGGTTTCGGTCTATGGGTGACCAGATGGATCTCTCGGAGCCTGTGAACATTTTTGTAAATGCGCCTTAAAACCTGTTCATCATGCACGGGTTGTGAATGTTTCGGCTTTGCTCTCCAACACACAACCGGTGTGCTGCACTCGTAATCGAATTGGCATGTTGTGTTTACGTGACAAACCTGACTAATTGGCTATCCAGTGGTGGCGGGTTTAACGACACATTTAGATTTACGCAATCTAACACACACAAAAAACCCCGATTTAAAGCTTTCGTGACTGCAGTAATTCATATTCTTAGCTCTTTCGATAAAGTCACGTTGACTTTATCAGGTGTGGTTTTCACACCTGATGATGACCGTTTGTGTTATGGTCGAAACGTCGTGAGAATGTTATTGTTTTATATATATTTTATTGTTTCCCTTCAACGTGACTTTACCGAGAGAGCTAAGAATACAAAAACCCTCTCTATTATCCAAATACGCTTCCGCTTATTAACACTTTTGGTTCATTTAGTAAATAATTTTTTAAAATGTATTTATATTTTGATGTAAAGCTTTCGTGTCTGCAGGAATTCGCACTCCTTGGGTATTTCGGTAAAGTCACGTAGATATAAAAATACTGTAATAGATCACGACGTTTCGATCACTTCACGGGCGATCGTCTTCAGGTGACTTTACCGAAAGACCCAAGGAGTATTTATATTCGGTTTATGTCGAGTGTCTGCTGCTGCTGTATCCTGTACAGCGCTTTGAGATCCTTGATGAAAAGCGCGAAATAAATGTAGTAATTATTATTGTTGTTATCATCAGCGAGACCAGCCGTGTTCGATCCACTGCTGGATGAAAGGCCTTCTTCGCAGGCCACCGCCGGCCGGCCTGCCAGCTCACCCCGCGCGTCTCGCGCTTAACAAGAACATTCTCAATCGGTGCATTTAGATTCGCGCGACGTTGCAATTATTGCGTGGCGAAGATTTAAACGTCGCAAGTTTTCGAGCTTATCCGAGAAGATTTTACCTTAAGCGGCCAACAACTGCCTCGACTTCTCCCGTATCAGCCGCCATTGATGCTGTCCGCGTCATGTGGCCCCGCCCACAAGCCCCCGCCCCGCCCAGCCCACAAGCCTCCGCCCCGCCCACAAGCCCCCGCCCCGCCCATAAGCCCCCGCCCCTCTACTTAGACCCCGCCCCTCCCCTGGTATCCCTCCACATCGCGATTGTCCCCGCCCCTTTATTAGATTTCCCAGCACACATCGCACGCACACCGCGACCGCCGGCGCACATCCGGGCAACGTTGACGCCTTGGGGAACCTCACGCGCCGATTGGTCCAAGCGTCCGTTGACGTCACGCGAACGTCAACCGCGCGGCCATGTTACGTAGGGGAGTTGGAAGATCCCCTTACCCCCTCTATTGTAAACCAATAGGAGGTTTCTCCCTGAGTAAGATGGCCGCTGCGGGGTGGGGGGTTACGTGGCCGTAGGAGAAAGCGGAGTGTCCCGTATCTGGTGTGGGATTTCAAATCGCGGCTCCTTTGTCTCTGTGTAGTTGTTTGCGAGTCGCCTTTCTCCTCGATGTCGCGACATCGTCGACGGCGGTGCTAAGAGCGGCAACGAGCAAGAGGGGCGACACTAAAGGGCGGCTCGAGCAAGCGAGCGAGAGCGAGAAAAAAAGGGGGGGAGGGGGGGGGCGAGAGCGTAAGGAGGCGGAGTGGCCGCAGAGGAGGTGAGTGACCCCCTTCGCTTTGCCGGGATGATGGTGACAATCGCCGGGATGATGGTGACAATCGCCATGCCTCTGATCTCGGTGTCTCCCCCGGGGCTCGGCGTGGCGCGAGGGGGGGGGGTCTCAGGATCAGGTGGTCAATCTCTGATCGTGACCCTGCCCCTTGCAGGCCATGCTTCAAGAGGTCACTGCTATCGGGTTTGTGACGTGATTGCTGGGGCAAGGGGAGATCTGGTTGAGGTCCTGGACCACCCTGACCCATTGTTTGAAGGGGTCACCGGCTGTGTGTTGTGGTGTGTAGGTCACGAGTGTGACCCTTGCCACGTAACCCACGTATCTCGGGGAGGCTGGGGGTCAGCGCACCGCCGATTAGCGGGTACGGTGATAAAGAAGTTCAACGTAGTACCGCACAGGTGTGTAAGCTTAACACTTAGGCTTTCGCGACCAATATCTATAATACAGTTTATTTTTATCGATTAGATCGCGTAAAAATATATAAGTGTGTCGTTAAACCCGCCACCACCCGACGCAGCCAATTCGTAAGGTTTGTCACGTAAACAGAACAGGTGCGTTAGGACGTGGCAGACGAGTCAAGGCCATGAGCCCTTCACTTGGTTACGAATTGAATATTCGAGGCATCACTTTGTGCGTGCTGCGTTCAGTCTTTGTTGTCGCCTTACCCTGTTTCGTTGTCAGGCGAGAGTTGCACGCACTTCGTGGCATGCTGTGCCCTGTGTTGTTGTGTTGTGGGGGGGTGGGCAGCAGTGGTTAGGGCGCACTGCGCTAAGAACCCGGCCACCTAGGTTCGATTCCCGACCACGGCGACCACGGCCACCGAGTGCCATCCGCACCAATGCCACCCACCCCATCACTTGGGTGAAGTATGGTCAAGCAAACTCCGTGACTGACGGCGGTGGGTTGGTTAAGAGCTTGCTGTATGAGGTGTGGGTGGAATACGTCTCGTTTAACTATTCACAGTACCTCTGCGAGTGTCGCCCTCTGATAAAAGGTTTGTGGTTGGTCACAATTTCCAATTGGCATAAGATTAAGCCACTCTGTAAAGGGCGATAATGTTTACCGCTGCTGGCTTAAGGCTCCCCCCCCCCCCCACACACGGTGTTGATCACGGGGGTTGTTTGACCATACTTCACCACGCTGGTCACCACACGTACCTGGCAAACCCCTACCTTATTACAGACCAATTCAGATCTTATTGGTCACACCGTGCCCCTATAAATCTCAACGTTCATCCCACACAGTCGGATCACAAGGGAGAAACAGAAACAAACAGACAAAACCCCATTGTTTTTGTGCCCCTATTGAAACGGCTGTACGCCGTATGGACCTTAACACTCAATTTCCACGTACAAGAATACGGGGTATACCGTGTATGGGTTGACAGCTGTGAGTGCGGTGAAGGGATGGGTTAGCCGGGTTCATGGATCGCCACACTCACCCCTTCACTCGACCCCAGTGTGATAGCACACTAGCAATACGTAACACACCGCCTTTTGCATATTAAAAGCTGCATGTTGTAACGGTAAAAATATAGTGAACATCGCGCACACGGTGAAGCAATTGGCATTGCAATGCGGTAATGTAATCGCGTGCCCACCGGGTGACTGAATAGCTCCCGAGTTGCTGGGGTGGAGGGGGGGGTCATCTGAGTGTAACGCGGTGGTGCATTCCTCCGTCACACGCGATCGGCTTCACCAACCTGGCACAGCTGGCCGGCATGGGTGAAGAAGTAAGTGGTGGTCGTCGTCGCGTGAAGTTCCACTAAATCCAGAGGACGTGGCTCGGGTCACAGGCAGGACCGTGAGAGATGGGGGGGGGGCAGCGGAAGGCTTGGGTTGACCATGGAAGATGATGATGGTGGTGGTGATAATGTAAAGCAAAGGCTCACTCAGATGTGTAATAATGGATATATCCCCCCCCTCCTCCCCCTGAAATGTTGAGACATGTTATTTTTTTCTATATACACTACAGTTCATTTGTTAATAAGTGTGAAATTAAGATTTTTTTTCTCTCCATAAATGTGAAATCGCAAGTAAGTAAATAATACATAATCATTGGTGTATATTTAACTTTAGAGTATGGATGCATGCATGTTGAACTTATTTTGCACCGTACGTAGCCAACCGTGTTATTTGGAGTAGAATACATGTACAAGGTACAATAGATATGAGACAGTACAAATAGCAAATACACAGGAGACAATAGGCAGTGCTGATAAGGCAGTACAGACAACACCAGTCTCCACAGATGAGACGGCACATGTATGTACGGTATGTTGAACTTCTTTCGCACCGTACGTGGCCAACCGTGCTAATCGGAGGTGCAACAATTCAGGAAAACCTATTTCAGGCTCGGCACTCTTGGTAGGAAAGCAATTTGCCACCCTCGAAAATGTTTAGGCTTGGCGTGCCACCGCTGTAAAGGGTCCGTGACGTTATTTACAATTTGACATGACGAACGCTATGTGCCATACACACTGTCGTTACACTTGTTGACGCAGGTCTCTTGACTCTTTTTTTTTCAGGAGGAACCTGCCAAGTCTTCGCAGTAGGGCGACGATTGGTTGCTCTGCGTACCGTAATCCCAATTGAGTAGTTTGCGAGTGATTTCAAAAATGTGGTGAATGATGGACACCGGCACTCAATGGCCTAACTCTTGCGAATTATTCCATGGAATCTTTAACGTGAAGCATACGGCGTGTATATATTTTTGGATCGTACGCTACCGCAGTATTTATCAGGGTGGCCACTGGATTCGAACGTTGAAAAGTGGCTAACTCACTACCGCTGGGCAACGTATATGTGTGTGCGTTTGGAAAACTGCGTATTGTATGTAACAGACAAATGTGTATCTGTCCATGTAACAAAAAAAACATTTAATGTTTAACCCATCATCAAAGCTGTAGCCTGTGAAGCGTTTTCTGCTGGGCTGCCATTTGATACACATAGTACAGTGGTTTGGGGCATGTGGCAGCTCTGGTTTGGAAATTGTGTCACTTTCCAAGAGATAGTGAATATCTGTGGATGTGCGCCTTGTTAAATAAAGTCAACCGGATTAAATTAACAAAAAATATCTCAGTGGAGCGTACGAACTTACCCGCACGTAAGGGAATGTGTGTAACATTGTACTGAATGTGGCTTGAGAGCAATTGCAGCTGATGTTGACATAATGCTTTTGTGTACATTTTAGTGTGCTGTGTTGGCATGGAAAAATGAACATTGCTGGCAGCCGGAGTTTACTGGGTTTTAAAACAAATGGTAATTTAAGAGGCTAAACAGTGCATGCTCGCACTATTGAGGCAAGGTGTCTTACTATAACAGTGGCTGTGTTAGTGGTTGGCGCACCTCACAGTGAGCTGGGCACGACAAGTTTAATTCCAGGCCATGGCTAACATCAGTGGCGAGTCATATCAGAAAACTGTTGCTGCCACCCATCCCCTTTCACCAACCCACACTCACCAGCGTGCTGAGGTGTGGTCAAACAATCCCTCATTAACCTAGACAGTGTGAGGAGGGCCCTAAATCCAGCAGTGGATTGGCAGTGAATACTGTAGTAACAATCTTAACATCGTCATCACTGCCAGTGTGACTTCTGTCCAAGATATCCGTGCCACCAAGTGATCGATGTGACATTTTTGTTTCTCAAGAGCGAGCATTCAAAATTGAACCGTCGTCGCCGTGCTCAATCCACGGCTAGACAAACGAAAAAGGCCTTCCCCATCACTCACACAAATCCTGCAATTGAACACCGATACCGCCACCTCCTGCGCGATGCGCACTCGAGAATGCTTCTTTTCAGCATGGATATTTACACTGCGTAACATTGCACATACGAGCTGATTTAAAATAATGGTGGTGGTGGTAGTAGTAGTAGTGTTAACAAAATAACAGTGACGAAAAGGCGCACATGTTGAGCCATTCGCCCAAGGGATTATGTAATGACAGTCATAAACAGCTGTTTTTGGAGGGGGGGGGGAGGGTGGTTTGGGGGGTTCCGAGTGGTAAACACGAGCACGTGGGTGCTTACGGCTTCCACCCCCCACAACATTCCACTGACGACGTCACTGGTGAGATTTTCACTTAAAAACATCAACAAACCGACTATTAAACTTGGATGGTTTTTTTCTCTCTCTCTCTCAGCAGCTAAAAAAACAACCCCGAGGCTGTTGGGCGGTGAACGACCCTGTCCGGTTTGACGCGTTGGGGCTGTGATCAGATCGTTAACATTCGTGATTGTTAGTCCACACTTGTGATTAAACGCTTATTAGTTTACCACGTAGCAGGCTTTCGCGATCAATATTATTAATAATAAAGTTTTTTTTGCGTTAGATCGCGTAATGATAAATGTGTC